AAAATCTACTTGAATTGATTTAACGGAAAATCTCTTCCGTCATCATGATATTTTATGCACTTGAGGAAAGTCTCTTAATTTGCCATTTTCATCACCACTATTTCAGTACAGAATATCTGCTATTGTAAATAATTCTGGCGCTTTTGGCATTGGCGAATATTAAGATATCAACGAAGTTTCACACTTTTGCCAATTGATTGTTTCTTTATTTTTATTTATTGCCGCTGACAGTGCGTCTGATTTGCAGAGGAGAGGATTTATGTTCCCAAATCTCTTTTGTGTTTGCTTCTGTTGTGTCTGGGTGGGGGAAAGGTGAGGTTCTAAATAAAATAATAGAAGTGCCGAGTTAATATGGTATGCATGAGACAACCTTATGAATTGAGTGGATTTTTTCGGGTGGTTCTTATTTATAAAAGTGGAGGCGTGATTGCTGTGTGCGTCTCTTCTTCGTCCGTTTGCTCCCTGTGGGCACGCAGAGTGCCTCAGAATTTAATGAAGTCGAGGAGAGAGGAATTCAGACATTTTAAATTAAATTCAATGGATATTTTTACAAAACCCAATTTCTCACACGGTGATCTTCGCAGACTGTTTGTACCCTGCGCCACCTTATAAACAATCACACAACGTCGCGCTTCAGCTTCGCGATGTAGGTGAAAGCCAGAAGCGCACCGCCGAGGAAATGTGGTGGAATTTTTTCGCCGCCCCGCCATTGAATAGTGTTCTATAATGTACTGAAACATCAAGCACGTGTCGCGATTTTTAGACGCTCCCCAGGAAGCCAAAATCATCACCCAAAAGCCGCGCGTGACTCAATGAATCGCGATCTCTTCCTCAGAAGAACAATGCGTCGTGAATCTGAGCATGGACTTAATTTGCAATTACCACCACTGTTTTTGTACATATTCTAAAATTATTTGCCCCGCACTATAAATAGCCAGCGATATTGCGAGAAAAACCCTCCTCCATGGGTTAATTTTAGTCCAATTGTTTGAGAAATAACCATTTGAGTTTTATGTGACCAATATTTTTTATACACATTCACATAATGTGGGGATGAAAATAGAATTGAAAGTTTCAAAATAATTATTCGTAATTTTAATTTTAGATTGATTTTATTCGACGCGAATCACCAGATAAATTCACAAGAACGTGGGATTTGCAGTTTTCGAAGTATTCATCCAATTCTGCTAAACTACATTTGTGTGCTCAATGGACGAGGCAATGTAGAGGAAAGCTCATCTCTTTTGATTCTAAACAATAAATTTCCTCTGGCAAATGACCCAAGCTGGAGCTTTTTGGTTACACGAAATGGCATGGATATTTTCTCTTATTTGCCAATACAGTCTCGAATAACACTAAATTAAATCCAAATATTCTTGTTTTTCCATTGTTGACACAAAGAATGAGATAAAATATGTGAGAAATCAATGGGAGGGAATAAATTAATTCGCCATGACTTGACAAAACATTCCCAGTGGCGAAAAGCACAAAACTCACAGAGCTTCCAATAAATTTTTGGTCAATGACCGATTTATTGGGTGGCCAAATAGACAACAGTCCTTTCGGGAGAATACTCGAAAGCTCACCAAATGTATAAAAGATAGAGAGAAACATTCACCGATTTATCATTGCCATATAAACTCAGACATGCTCTTTTCCTCTCTTCTATTTTTCATCATTTCCCAGCATAACTGCTTACATTATGACCGGAAGGAGATGACAAGCCCATAGCAATGTCCTGACCAACTTGCAATCAATTGTGAATCTATTGATGAGGCGTTTGTGCGATGAAAAAAATGAAGCTATGGCTGAATTTCCTGCTTTAATAACAAAATCCGTGACTTCTCCATGTCTAGAATGGCTGTTAAATGCAAAATAGAAAAGAATAGGGCAATAAAATGATTTCGTTCTGGGAGTAACAATTTTTCAGGCAATCGTTAAAAATTGCGAAAAGAAATGAGTGCCATAAAACACTTCTTTGCATCATTTTTCGCGTTCCAAGCTTTATGGACACAAAAGTTCCCATTTTCTTCGCTTCCTCTTTCCCAAGCCATATCCCAAAACTACTCGGGCAATATATCGTGTGTCCGTCCACTGGCTCAGCCGCCCATCCGTCCTCCCAGTGCTCGTAGGAATATTGTAAAATAATCATTGTCTCTTCGCTGAAAAGTTTTCCATTCTCCCAAGCATTTGGAGGTCTTGTGTATGCATGCGAAAGTATATAAAAATGCGAAAGCCATGGGATTGTATAATAGTGTTATAATAAAAGTCCGTGCGGCAGCGAGAAAAAAATCATCATAACGAAAGTTCAAATGGGTTTTCCGGATCTCTTGCCTTATGGTTGTGCTGTGTGCGGAGTTGCCAAGCAACTCGCGACGCCGTCTCGACGCTCTGGGATATAAAGTTGTGTGGCGCCTCAACGGTCCAGGCAATGAGGAGAGAGTGAGATTAATATCTTTCTTTCTCCAACGGCTCGTTTGCTCCCTCCTTCGCCCCAGACAAAGTTGGAAGTTGTGTCAATAAATTTACGATTGAGACACACATTTTTCGGGAATTGCTCCCATACTTCAATGCCTTTTCAACTCCACCTCAATTTCCTCGTGCTTTCCACGCTCTGCACTTTCGACACCGATAAACATCCTCGCGCTGTGTGTTTTTCAGGTAAAGTTTGCCGGGCTTTTAATTGATACGCCCCAATTACGTCTAGAGTAAATGTCAGAGAAAATGCTCTTCGACTTCCCTCCCTTGGACATGCAGCAAACTACCCTTGCAAGTAGTTCACAGAGTGCCTCAACAGTGAATTTGTTGAGATTCTACCAGTTAAGCAATGGCGTTATGACTCGGAAAAGCACTCGGCTTGAAATGCATGCATCTTCTCTGTCTGTGACAGATTCAAAGTTTATTTAAACATAAATTTTAAACATTTCCTCAAACAATTTCTTGTATAATTAAACGATCTTCAATAGTTTGGCAGAATTATTTGTATGGCAACTAGAGTATATCTGATGCGATACTCAACAAACTATAAACAAATGTCCAATTGAAGCTTTCTCAATCATCTCTTGACAAGTCCGTCAAAACAGAAGCAAAATCGAGATTGAGGAAAAAGTTCATCTCAGTTTTTTCTTCTCTAAAAATAAATTTTTTATCATCAAACAAATAATGGGCAACATTCTGTAAACTCAACAGTTACGGAAAAAGAAAAGAAGTGTTTTAAAATTCCTAAATATAACTCTTTGAGCATTAAATACTAGACCTGGACCTTTCGAAGAAACAGTAATTGAATCCCTTCTATTCTTATTTTTATTCAACGGAGTATTTTTCATACGATAATAAGTGATGCAACTGACCATGCAATCTCTTAACACCCCGAACAGACTGGGCTTTTTACATTGATTACACAGACCCGGGACTTTTTTACGCCCTTACGGGACCTTTTTTCCCAAAATGCCTATTTCGGCCAATTTTTGTTCGGGAAGATCGCGGAAAACGATCAGATCACCTTCGCTCTGCATTTATTTAACGTTTCATAGGAATTTTTACCGTGAAAATTCTCATTTTCGTGAAAAACATGTTAATATACTCAGCTGTGTGGCAGAGTGAAAAAGAGAATCGACACTGTAGGGTGCCTTTTTCAAGTGTCGTCACAGCTCGGGTGATTAGCACAGCCGCTCGGCACTCGTCGGACTGTTCTACTATTGTGCCAATTCGTTTGAACGTCACTCCGAGGCCAATATTTTGGAAATTGGCAAGAAATATTTAGTTTTTCGTGAAATGTATGAGCAAGACGTGAAGAATATTGCAGAGAAGTGAGAGTGGAAGATGTTTCCGGATAAAAAGCTGCATCTTCTGCGAAGGATTAGTGATAAAGGCCGGTCAATTGCAAGGCAAGTTGCAGAAGATGAGCTCAGAGAGAAATTGCCGAAGAACGTCTTCCGTGCGCATATTCTTCAGCATCACGCCAATGAATTGTTGACAAACTGAAATAGGACGATTTCTGGAGGAAAAGAATCACTGTGAACTGATTTAGAAACAACACGAGAACACGCGGTAGACGCTGAGCGAGCCATCAGATATTGAGAGCGAGCCTAATCATCAGTTTTTATCAGGAAATCCTTCGTCCCGAATTAAAATTTACGGTGAGTAATTAAAATCAAATTAAATCATGATTAGAAGTTAATGATTATGATATTTTCAGGGGATTTCTTCCAAGATCTATCCAGAATATTGCAGTACCAGTTCACCTTCTGTACTTTCCTGGACCAAAAGACGCCGCGAATAAAGATCAACGCTTTTTGATGGGGTGTGATTCAACCTGATTCCCGGCTCTAGATCTCGCTGACGCTCTCGCTAGCGTTTACTCGGAATATTCACCATTCGTGGTATTAAATACGGAACTAACAATGCAGTCGCGACCTTTATATTTTTTTAGCGAAATTATCTCAAAAATTCGGTAAGAATTGACACCAAAAACTTCCATATAAAATAATGCTTATGATTTTGAATAATTTTAATTTTGTGGGAAAAGAGAGAAATAAAAACCTTGCATAAAATGCACTTTAAATTTGTGTTTTTGACTATGACGGAGAATTAAATAGTTAATTTGAGATATTTTATGTCGATTTCCGCAATACTTTGCTGTCTGCAAAGTATAACTGAGTAATTGCCGATAGCGCCGCGTTTAGCATTAAAATCGGCGCTGTCTGCTTAACTGTAGCACAGAAGCACGAAAGCTCCAAAGCGCTAGAGCAAAAAAGGGTCTTAGAGCGAGTGCCCTAGAGAGAAGTCCCCGCTCGAAAAAAGTCCCTCAACTGTTATAAAGGTTGAGTCTGTTCGGCGTGTAAATGTCATGCTCATCTTTTTAAAGTGTGTCTCCGCTAAGCTTATCGACATCTCAAATCTGTATCTTTCAAAATGTGAGACTCAACGGACAATTGCACCTTTTAGAAATCCCTGTGCGAAATATCAATCGATTCGTTGTTGCAATCAATTAAACATGATCAATTCAATTGTTTATTCTACGCAAACTCGACACATGCAGGAAACATGAAACAATGAGTAATAAATTAGATACAATCCGACATCAATGAGAGTGATGGCGACGAAATTTCACGGGCCTCATCAATCGTCTCTGGGCTGTGGATAGAACTGCGTCAGCAGCTTGATGAAGTCCTCTGCCAGTTCGCGAGAACTCGCGGCCAGAACGCGCCTTGACATGATGTCCAGCGGGCCACCGGCTGGATCCATAGTGACGCCGCCGGCTTCGCGGACGATCAAGTCGCCAGCCGCCATGTCCCAGGCGTGAGGTCCGTACTCCCAGTTGAGGTCCGCCGCTCCCTGGGCGACCATGCACATATTGAGGGCAGCGGAACCGGTGACGCGAATCCCGTGAACCGCAGGGACAACCTTGGCCAGATTTTCAAGCGTCACGCGAACCTTGTCGGTTTCGCGGCTGGTGCCGAATTCGGTGGTTATTAAAGCTTTGTTGAGAGCTTTCTGACCGGAAACGGTTATCTTCTGACCATTGAAGTAAGCGCCTTGGCCGCGACGAGCTGTGAACTTTTGGCTGAAGACAGGATTGTAGACAACGGCCAGTTCGGCGGATTTGTTCACCCACAGTGCAATGGATACGCAAGATTGCGGGTAACTGTGCACGAAATTCATGGTTCCATCCACAGGATCAATAATCCAAGTGGGATCGTCTGTCAGCAGAGATTTCCGACCTTCCCCGAAAGCCTCCTCGCCAATGAATCTGCCCAAGAGATTTAAAAAGTCATTAGAATTCTAGAAAGGATATCTCTTACTTCATAACTACTTGTGGGAGGGAAACTTCTCGTGGAGTCCATCGACCAGGAGCTTCTCAACCTGCTGGTCCGTCTCCGTAACCAAGTCAATGTCATCCGTCTTCTCAGCAACAGTCTTGGATCCCGAATTCCGGGCAGCGATAAGCTGAAATGCAGGAAGAGAAACAGACAGGAAAGCATATTATCGGCACATGTTTACAGCATTACATAATAACTCCGCCCGATAAAGCCTCAATATCAAAACCACAAACTATAAATTAAACATATAAAAAATTCACATCGACACCTTGATGGAAAATTTTCACAATCTACCCCAACCCCATCCCACTAATGGAAACTCAATGGAAAATTACTCACTTTTCCAGCTTCGTCGACGAGTTTGTTTACCGTCTCCCAGCACAAATCCCAATCCCGATCAGAAGCCATTCGGTGTGGTTGAATCGGAGCAGCACTAATTTACAAAATATGCTTTTCGGCAGATGACTGAGGACCGAATGAACTGGGACGATTTTTGTGTGTTGAATTTTCCACAAAGCGAGCGTGTGTGCTCAAAATAAAAAGTGAGATAAACGTCAAATGCCGTGAAACAAGCATGCTTGCCGAAGAACAGACGTAAGAGCGCCCGAATATGGTCAGAGAGCTCGTAAAATTTCAGCATTCATTCGCCAAGAGCTTTGAGGAAACTCGGGAAGTAGAGTTTGGTGTCTATTCGATATACCAGATTCTGATGTGTCTGAATGTGTTAGTTAACACTTCTCATCATTTTCTATACATACAGTGTGTAATCTTCATGCATCCTTTACACGTTGTCATTCCTTTGCAATGCATCATTATATTATCAAATTTCTGGCAGTTGTTGCAGTGGACTGAAAACCAAATCTGAAACTTCTTCTCGAGTTTGAGAGGTTCGAAGTGCATTGCAAATCTGTCTAAGCAAAATCACATGAAAATAACAGAAATTTTCATGTGGGAACTCTCTCTGCAGCGAAATAGTTTCTTATCAGTGTTCATGAACCAGAAATTACTGCATACAGTGATTAAAGCGATTGAGGACAAAATATAATTACAAGAAAATTGAAGAGTTGTGCTGCAAGCGAGATAGTGAAAATAAAACAACATTTTTTCCACAAAATGCTCCTTAATTTTGAAGAAGGGAATGCAAGCAAAAAAAGCTATAGTTTTGCAAGATAATCTTTTAATATTATTATCTTCAACACATTAATAGTTTTTTTCATCTCTAAATATATATATAGTTTTCGTGTATATTTCCTGCTCAACAATTAGATATTTCTTCGCACTGAACATTTCAGTTAAATAGTGACGTTTCTTTCATTCTCTTTCTCTTCTTTCTAAAATGTGAATGATAAGCCAGCAACAAGAAACAATTATGTATTTATATAAATAGCATATTTTTCCATTTATAGAGTAAAATTTGTTCCAAGCGAGTCCAAAAAAGGGATGTGACACGCTGGAATGATATGTATTTTTTTGGGCGGTTGTGAATACACATTAAATATTCAATATATTTTAGCATTTCTCTTGATTCCTTATTTCATGTCACTTTTGTCGCATTGCTATATTTAGACACTAAATAGATTCACATATTGCCAAAAGCGTAAAGACTAATTAGAAGATAAATTATTGGAAGTTAACATGTAAAAAACAAGATATTGCGAGAATTTTTGTTCAAAGGAACAGCTTTTCTTTAATTATTGCGAAAATGCATCTCTTTACAGTAAAATATAAAAAAATATTCATACACAACAAACTCATTCAAACGACTCAAAGTCCTATTCAAAAAAAATACAGCATCACATCTCACAGATTTCTCTCTTAGCCCTGCAGAAGAATTTCCTAACAAGTAACTTAAGCTATGGTGAATGTTAAATTAAAAACTCGTCTTTGCGTCTATCGAGCATTCATCTCAGTGTGTTGGCTAATCCTAGGCTTTTACAGTAAGATCTCTGAAGAACAGACGCCTTAGGGGCGGTTCTGGAACAACTGCTCCACAATAGATTCATCGGCTAGGGTGGAAATATCACCCACATCGCGATCATTTATGGCCACTTTGCGCAGAATGCGCCGCATAATCTTGCCAGATCTCGTCTTGGGAAGCCCAGGAGCGTGCTGAATGACGTCCGGCTGGGCGAATGGTCCGATCCTCTCGCGCACAAGCTTCTTCAGTTCATCCACGAGCTTCTTATCGAACGGAGAATTTTCGTTGGGGGTGATGAAGCAGTAGAGACACTCGCCCTTGACAGGATGAGGTCCTGAAGTAATATGAGAACAAATCAATAGTGTCTCCATGAAAATTGAAGATTGACAGATAAACTCACGTGCGACTACAGCCGCTTCTGAAACGCTGTTGTGCTTCGTCAGAACTGACTCCACTTCAGCCGTGGACATCAAGTGGCCAGAAACGTTGAGCATATCATCGACACGCCCGGTAATCCACAGATATCCGTCGGCATCACGGCGAGCACCTGAAATAATCCGCAAATAGTGCCATTGAGTTTGGGGCCACTTTTGGCAGATAAGCCTCCAGCCAGACAGATAACACTCACCGTCTCCGGTGCAGTAATAGCCGGGGAACTTTGAGAAGTAGGTAGTCTCGAAGCGCTCGTGATTATTGAATAGCGTGCGCATCATTCCCGGCCAAGGGCGTGAGAAGACGAGGTATCCCTCACCCTCTCCTTCAATCTCCTTGCCACCCTCATCCAGGAGAATCGGTTGCACGCCGAAGAAAGGAAAACTAGCAGACCCGGGTTTCATTGGTGTGGCTCCGGGAAGTGGAGTGATCACGTGTCCTCCGGTTTCTGTCTGCCAGAAAGTGTCGACAATGGAGCACTTTTCCTGGCCAACGAGGCGATAGTACCAGAGCCATGCCTCAGGATTGATAGGCTCTCCCACGCTGCCCAGCACCCTGCAATTGGGACAAGAAATTAGTTGAGACATGACAGATAATAATGATCAAGTTCTCACCTTAGAGACGATACATCATGTTTCTTCACAGGCTCATCGCCGAATTTCATGAGAGCCCTTATGGCTGTTGGCGCAGTGTAGAATTGATTAACCTTGTACTTGTTAACAACTTGCCAATAGCGATCGTTGCCCGGGAAGAATGGTGTCCCTTCAAACTGCAATTGAAATTACATTGATGATTGGAATTCTAATCTGTTCTCATGAAAAATTCATCGACAAATCATATTCGAAAGCTTCGAAAGCCTGTGATTGTTTGAAATATCAATCATTCAATCTGTTTCACGCCAGACGTGATTGTTAATCATTTAGGGTCGACAACTGTTATCAGCTGTCTCACTGTGACAAAAAGTATTGATCCTTAGAACTGGAAAACGAACGCACCATTACAGAAGTGGCTCCATTGGCAAGAGGACCGTACACAACGTAAGTATGACCGGTGATCCATCCAATATCCGCGGTGCACCAGTAAATATCACCAGGCTTGTAATCGAACACGAGTTTCAGCGTTGTGCTGGCGTAGAGCAGGTAGCCGGCAGTCGTGTGCAGAACTCCTTTGGGTTTCCCCGTGGACCCACTTGTGTACAGCATGAAGAGTGGATCCTCCGCTTCCATCCACTCAGGATAGCAGGCCGGCTCGTGGTTCTCCATCTCCTGATGCCACCAGAAGTCTCGATCATCATTCCATGGAATATTTATATCCTCAGATCCCTCCTTCCCCGCTGTGACGCGATTCATGTGAGCCACAACGATGCAAGCCTCAACGCGATGCCCGAGGGTCTCGCATTTCTCCAGAGCTTCGTCGCACAGAGCTTTCAGTGGCAAAGCTTTCTCGCCTCGCCATGCGCCGTCTGCCGTGATCAGTACCTTTGCTTTGCAGTCGTTCATGCGCTCAGCCAGGGAGTCTGGGGAGAAGCCAGCAAACTGGAAATAAAAGTAAATTTAAGCATAACTGGTCAATAAAAATCCCTTACAATTGCCACTTACCACAATGGAATGGACAGCCCCAATTCGCGCGCACGCAAGCATCGCCACTGGCAATTCCAACACCATCGGCATGTAAATGGACACTCTGTCGCCCTTCCTGACTCCGTGCTCCTTCAGGACATTAGCGAATCTGCAGACTTCTTCCAGCAGCTTTCTGTACGTCAATCGACTGTAATCATCCGGATGATTGCCTTCCCTGCAAAAGTGCACTTATGAGAGAAAATCGAGAAAATTGAGGGAAAATTGCAACATCACGCCTTGAATTTATTCAAGTCGTGATGCATTTTCAATGCCACACGACACCCTATGCAACAGTATAATGTTAAGAAAATGTATTATCGATGATCCTTGGAGGAGAATCTTATGACCCCTTTTGTAATGCAAAGTGAATGTGGCAAAAGAAAAATATTCCTAGCAATTTGTTATGCGATTCACTTATTAATTTGGTTACCAAATTTTTACAGCAAAAAAAAAAAACATTTGTAGGTGTTTTACCATGAAAATGTTCACACTTGGCTCTTGTGTTGTGTTGTCTATCGTTGAACTTGATTAGAAATTCCGATCATGATCGTGTGCTTTTGAAGCCACACTGAAGAGCTTCCTAATGAGACATTTCTTTCAGTTTTTTCCGCAACCATCACAAGGACGACTCACTCATTAAAATGCAGTGAAACATAGAGGAATACGAGGTATTTTTTGGGAAATGATTGATAGCGTTTCTCGGAAGTATTCCGCGCCACCAAAGAGATACTGAGCTATCACAGCAGAGATATGAGAAGAACATGGAGCCAGATAGTAATTGGGTGAAATATGTGAATCAGCAAAAAGTGCCAATTTGGCCTTAGACTTGATTACAAAAATGCAGTAATAAATGCTGACAACCTGTCTTCATTGAAACGCCACCTTTTTCGCTAAATTGTGACAGACTCTTCGAGAGTGTTGTTAGACAACTATTGGCCTGTGTTTGCATATTTCTTATCTTTACACCATTGAGGCTATTCACTTAAAAATTGTAAAAAAACGCCCGTCTAGAATGGACATGACTGACCTTCCGATGCTGAGCTAATGATTTTCATTCAGCACTATGTGTATTAGTTACATAATCATCAATATGTACACAGTTCTGGTGTGGAGTAGAAACATTTGTACCTTTTTCGACTGCTTCATGGTATATGTGAACAATCGTGTGCAAACACCTCAGAAATTTTAATATTTTCCCCTTGATTGTGTGTGGAATTATTTCAAATCGACACACGAATACTCCGCACTTCTATGAAGTATTTTTGGCATCGGCATTAATTATTCGGTGAGCAATACCAGATCGCTTGTCCAAAATCCCATTAGTTTGGATTTAAGTGTTGGTATGCATTAGACAATCAACAATTTAGCCACTTTCTCTAGATTCACTGCGTGGAGAGCAGATTTTGAGAGATGAACGTGTCTCTCTTTTGTGTCGCATGACCATGAATCACGAGAGTTTCACTTCCAAATTGCCACTCGAATATGATTTGAGTAAATATTTGCATACAGATAACGAGATATGTTACGTAACATTCTGTAATTGTCTTCACTTAAACGTCCTTGATTGTTGTCCTGCTGTTGATTCTTCTTTTCTTGTAAAGGCGTGGGTAGACTATCGAGAGGCACATTATTGATTGCACACGAAGGCTATGAATGAGACTCTTAAAGTAAGAGAAATTACAATCCTTGGCTAGAGCTTTGGTCCAGTTTTTCTAGTGCCACTATAAATCCTGTCCTTAACCTCTGAACTTCAAGTGGAAAAATGACATGTGAATCACTGAAAGGCGATCAATTCACCTAGTGACCTATATATGAGCTAGAAGTGTGGAAAGAAACTCGCGCATTTTCTTTCATTTCACATATGAGTAATAAAATTTTATTCATTCATGTCACTCAAATAGGGAATAAATCAATAAAAAGAAAATTAAAAGTAATATTGAGACTATTGTATCAGACTTTTAAAGGTAATTTCTACGATAATGTGCAAAAGAAAAGCGACACATCGGTAATAAAAAATTGGAATTGTTTCACCTCACTTGGAATGACCCTGAGAATCAAAAAAAATTATGTATTCAAATTTCTAGTCAAGTTTTTATTGACTACAATTATCTTGGCGATTATTAAATACTGGAAGGTTTAGGAATTACATTTGAAAAACTGCATTTCAGCTTGTTACAAAATACTGAAACTCTCTTCCAATGAAATGAATTTTCATAAGAAAACTGGATTTTTTGAATAGATGTGTTTATTTGTTTGCTTATGCCCTTGAATGTTTCAGTAATTTATGTGCATACAGATAAATATCGAAATTTTTCCCACAACGAGTAAAATCAACTAATACAATAATCTAATTCACTCGTCAATTTGTCTTGTTTTCTTTAGAAAATCAGCCCTTCCCTTTACGATGAAATCCACAGTAAATCACCCTTTCCGAGCGGTCGCATTAACTGCTGAAACAAGGTTCAGACAGTTCAGACATCTCTGAATTGTAACAAAGAACATCAACTTCCGTGAATATTTGTTCTGAATTTTAATTATCTCACACAACGTGTTGTGTTTTACTATCTGAAACTGGAATTCGTGTGCCAACGTCTACTATCTCCCAAAATGCTATGTGTGAATAAAGAGACTGATGATGTAATTGGGATTCTGGGATGCTCAGAAAAAAGTGTCTTGGTGGAAATTTTGCGTCAATTGGAGAAAATTTGCACTCCGTCGCTAATTCAATGATTCCCAATTATGATGTTCACTTTTCGGGGTCCCCCCGATGAGGGTGTAAGTGGAGAGCAATTGCGGGGGTAGTTTAAGTAGGCTGAGAGAAGCGTAGGTGAGAAATCAATAGCAAATCCACATTGTTTATGGCGGATTGGTGAAAATGGCAGTGCGGGAAAAATCGATAGACTCACCAGTAGTACGCAATACTGTCTCCATGGCCGTTCTTCACGTTCCTGTCCAGGAGGTTGTAGCAGATATTGGTGGAGGCTCCCTCCATCCACTTGATGGACACTGGCCCGTTGGAGATGTCGAAGTTGTACTGGCAGAACTTGGCGGGATCCGCCGCGGTCTCCCAGTGGAACTGCTTCGCAATGTTGCCCCAGAACTGCGCTGGGTTGTCCAGGGACTGCTTATGCAGCTCCCTGTATTGCTCCATGCTGGACACATAGGCCGACCGACTGATGGCCGGATTGGGCTCATACACTGTCTTCTCCGAAGGCATTTTTCCACCCACTTTCACACACTCGCGGATCAATAACTTGGGGGACGAGCCCTTTTCCTCCAGGAAAACTCCTCGCACTCAAGGGCACGCGTGAACACTGGCGCGAGAAAGGGGGCCGCAAAGAGGCGATGCGAGACACAGCACAGACACAAAGGCAGTGTCCGGAGGTGATTAGAAGTGGCCTGAAATTGGGTGACAGAGATTTTGTGACGCAGCACAACTCTGCTCAGCGACTGGTGGACAGCGACTGACTCAAGTCTCTCCGACCAGAGAGGCTTTGGCGGGGAAATAGCATGGCGCATGACGCACCACATGTGCCGAGTGGAAGCGCCGCCAGGAGAGGGGCGGAAGCCCATCTTTTCGGATATGGTCGGTATCATGATTCCAAGGTATCTACTGTCTGTCTCGCTCTCTCAGACATTCTCGCGTGGTAATCATGTGATGTCCAGAATTTCCATCCTAGAGACACGAGGCAGCTTCCCACCAATTTTTTTCACTCATACGCATCTTCTTTCCGCTTTCCTTTGTGGCATCCCACCCCGTGAGTCCCTAAGGTTGTTGACCTCAATCGAACAGTGGAAAACTATGAATGACGTCATCGTGAACATTTAACGATTCACTCTAAAATTAGAACTGTGAAAAGGCATGAAAAATTTGTTTATTTTTACGAATTTGGCCAATGATTTCGGAGTAAATGCTCTTCAATACTAATTTCACGAAATTGAATAGAATTTTCAGAACTCATGCAACATTTTGCAATTGATACATAGATCTAACGATCATATATCTAAGCGATTTGCGATCAGTACCTTTAGGAGATTTGTTATGGACTCTAATTTCTACATAACATGTATGTTTTCTATTTCTCTATTGCTTTTTCATTTTACATACATATTTTCATATTCAGTTTAATTCCTTTCCTTCTCTTAATTATTTTAAATCTTACCTGCTTCACAGGATCCTCTTTCCTTAACTAGGAAATCTCTGATGCAACTCCTTTGCTTTTCCATTGAAATTCTTTGTTTTCTCTCTACACAATCACTGAGTAATTTCAAGTGATTGTCCGCAAATCCCTGCTGATGAACTTGCGTGACACAGTGCCATGATATCACCAGCTCTTCGTCGTAAAACAAGCCTTATCAAGTGAGGATGCCAAAGTTCCAATGTTTTATGACGAAACTTTGGGGGCCTCATGCGCAAAAAGCCGCCAAGGGATTTCAAGTTCAATGCTGGGCGCTGATTTCATGTAGCCCGGTGAGCAGGTGAAAACAGAAGGTGTGTCTCTGGATCAGGAGACAATCGTACGATTGCTGATAAGGTGGCTTATTGCCCTGATCGATGTCAAGGTCCGGGAGAGACAGTTGAGGTCAAAGAGGACCACTTAGGCATGTAATTGTCGGACAGACGCGCAATTGGCAGACGGGGAGGACCTTATCTGCCTGGAGAGTGGCTGAGAAGCTAATCTCTGTTTGTGGATTTTAATACAACCGAGAATTCGTTATATAACTAAGTAGTCAAAAAATTGCGGCATATCAGTTTTGTTTGAACTCATTTCGCCCCGCGCGGAGGGTGATAAGCTTTGGTGCACGAGCTACTGATGCCCAGATGGAGCGTTATCATCCGGAGAAGCTTCAGTGGTCGTCGCTCTTCAGGAACTCCTCATACTGTTTCTCGTCCATGAGCGCAGCCACCTCCTCGGGCTTGCTCAGCTCCACTCGGAATAGCCATCCCTTGTCATAGCAGGACGTGTTGATGAGGCTGGGCGTCTCCTCCACGGCGGTGTTCTTCTCCGTCACCTTTCCGGACACCGGCGAGTACAGCTCGCTAGCGGCCTTCACGCTCTCCAGCGCTCCGCACTCGTCCTTCTGGCTCAGGTTTGTGCCCACGTCCGGCAGTTGGGCATAAACTACGTCTCCCAGCGCCTCTTGGGCGTAATGTGAGATGCCCACGGTGCCCACGGAGCCTTCAACCGAAACCCATTCGTGCTTGTCCGTGTATCGTCTCTCTGGAAAGGCAGAGGATAACCTTACTCTCCAATTCACGTGTGTCTGATCTTTCTGAATCATTCCAAGAGTCTTCCTTACCTGCATGGCAGACGGTCTGTAAGCTGAAACACCGGGAAACAGCCGGTGATGAGGTCTTGGCTAAGAATGCCCTTCCCGGAGAGTTTACGGCCAGCCGGCAGAGCCTGAACATTGACTGAGAAAGCACCATGTTTTCACACAATTTTCCACAAAATCCACAGAGATTTCACACAAGACTGCTTTCGGCACAAGTGCTGGTTCACTAATGATGAGTCGAATGCTGAATTACGCTGTTTTCATAGCGAGGATATAAATAAATTGGAAATTCTCTCCGTGTTGATAAGAAAACTGTCAACTCCTCGGCACACAAACACACTCTCGTGAGCTTTTTCGCAACTCGGCGAAAAAGCTGTCGCTCTCTTTGAATTCAACGGTCGTTGGCCATGCGACTGAGCTGGACATTTAAAAAATGTCCTTTTTGTGGAGAAACTATCTGTGAATCCTGAGTAAATGGGAGGAAACACCACTGACAGCATGATCAGAAGCCCTGTTGAGACATATTTTCGCAATCGAACACAATCCATAACTGTGCTATCGCGCTAAAGGTCACTGCTTTGATCTGACCTCTTGCCAGTGATCTGCGAAGTCAACCTCTTTGCAGGGGGGCATCTTGTTATCGCAACAGTCTGACACGTTTCCACAAATGTTCGACGTTCTACATATAGTCTCAGTCTCGCCCAGAAGCGATAGGCAGCAATGGGAACGGCGAGAAATTCCTAAATTTCCTCAATTTCTCTATTCAATGAAATGATGTCTGTCTACATTTACTGATATCTCGACGCTCTGAGGGCGGACTTGAGCGCCGGGCGATTCTCGTAAGGGTTCCCCCTGGGCATTGGTGGACTGTAGTCTGGAGCTGGGACTCCGGGTTCGTTCCTGAAGCTGTTGCGATGATTGATCTCTCGAGCCACACTCTGCGCGGCATCGCGGCGGAGAATCACGTCATCGTCACGGCGACGGACAACAGGCGGCGGCGGTTGCTGCACCGGATGAAGTTCATACGTAGAGACGCCGCGTCGATAATCACGATCGTCAGGAGCTGCGTGACGATCAGGATTGAAGGAGCTCGGAGTTTGCCAGACGCTCGCTGGACGCGCGTTGCTACAAAGGCAGAAAGGGATAAGTGATCAGGCAGTTTTTGCATCGTTTTATCTTACCTAAATCCATACGCGTCGATCGGTTTCTCGTGCTTATTGAGAGAATGCGGTTCGGAAGCGAAAGTCACGTTATCAACTCCGGCCTGAAAAGTCCCAGAAATCAATTAAAAATCACATAACACGGAGGAATTGCTGGCTGTTAACATATCATTGAAGAGTTAAGCACAATATGACACATCTTATCTCTCCGTTTGGGTAAATCTAGCGAAAATTACCTTCATGCGATTGTGATCGGAAATCTTGAAAGTGTGCGTGAAGAGATAGAGAGCTAGGAAGACATTAATGAGCCACAAGAGGAATCCGCGGAATGCCACTCCCATCAAGACGCCCGCCGAAGCCTGAGCAGCCAGAAGGATCGCATGATTGATCGTTGCTCCCACGAAGTCAATTGTATAAGCATGGTCCTGAAGAGTGTTGATCATTCGCATTAGAACTTCCATCGGCACTGATTGAATAATGATCTTACCATAATGGTTCCGTAATCGAGTCCAAAGAGGATTCCCAAAGCCATGTCCACAATCGAGATGGCCAAGGTGAGGAAAATCCAAATGTAGAGAAAGATGTTGGCATATCTTATGTATTCCTCTTTGCACGCTGAAATAAGTCGATCGAATGAGTTATCAGAGGAGTGAATAATGGGGTTTCACACAGGAAAGTCTCCGCTTAATCAATCAGAATTGCAATCAAAGGCTATTATCTTTATCAGTACATCTTTATGATTGGTAATATGTTATTATTAGGAAAAATATCAGCTCTGTGCGATCTTTGATATAAATTTGTGATAATACGAAGATCTTTTAGAGAAAAGTTAATTAAATAGCATCGACGACACTTACTTATGATGATCGTGAGGGAACTGATGAGCCAGAAGAAGGAGATGATGAGGTATGTCCAGGCCATGGCGTGGACATCGATGGGCTCCAGGAGCGGCAAGCCATCCACCACGCCGAAGTCTATGGCGGGAAAGTGGGGCAGGTCGCAGGGTCCGCGGAAGTAGACGTGGAAGAATGTGAGCTCTAAGAGGGATCCCATGCTCGGCCAGACATTCTCGAAGCTCATGTGGCAATAATAGGCGGTCAGTCCGACGATGGCAAAGGCTATCCACAGTAGCGCTTGCAGCTGCGATAGTGAGATACAGTGTGTAAAAACGATAAGAGTGGGCCAATGTAATGTGTCTTTAATCAAAATCACGACACAGTCTTGTTATTGATGGTGTTTCGGCGCCTTTATCAGCCCGCCTAGCATCTCGCCGTTTTTTCATGCCCTCACTTGGACGTCAAATCTTGTGAGCTTAACAACATAATTCCACAGACGATTAAGTGTTATTACACGCGATTTATGCTGGGGCTGGGCTTTCGATGATGACATCGGAATTGTCTTGAATCACGATCATGAATCAAAGTCTTTGTTCGCAGGTTGACAGCAAAACTCCATCAAATACTGCAATTTTTGCCATTGCATTGGCGAAAATCCACGCGCAAGTCATTTAGATGAATCACGACCGAGGATGACACTTACCATTCCAATCACTCCTGCAAAAATCACTACTGGGCGAAGGTACTTGAAGGACGAATACATTTTCTATCTTTTGCCTTTGTCCTGCAACTTCTGAACAACGTTCTCACTTTTCCTTCCACCAGTTGATATAGAATTGTGGGAGAAATCCTTCTTTTCTTGGCGGATTCGCCTCCCTCTTTCACATGAGCGCAACTTTTGAATTTCGGCACCGAGTCACAATTCACACTGTCGATCGGTTCAGGTGAGAATCGCTGGCAAAGCTCTCTCTCTCACTGCGAAAATTCGATAAGACACTTTTCACACACAAATCCTTATCGCCACCCACGATATCGTGGCCGGAGAGTGAGTATGTGAATTAATCAAAATATCAGTCAAAGGGTGACAGATTAGCTGAAATTCCAATCAACTGAGAAATTCAATCAGTCTTAAGATATCAAGTCTCCAAACTTCGTTGAAAAAACTCTATTCTTCGAATTCCTAAGCTCTCTGAACAACATCTAGCGGATTGGTGATAAGTGAAACTTTTAGGGCTTTTTGCCACATAAGCTCCCTTGCACACACACACAAACATAATAATATACAAGGTATAATCTTATCGAATGCTTTAGCAAAGATAACTTTCTTATCACACAAAATATTTATTGATTTCTCCTTCTTCGGCTTTGGCCGTATTTTTGGCAGAAGTGGGGCTTTCTCGAATGATTTTACCTCAGTAATGAACCTCAGGTCCACTCCATCCTGCGAATTGAAGAAGACACACAATTAAGATTAATTGATGAGTGTTTTGTAAATATTGTTCTACTGGGAATATGTTTCTTATTATATTTCAAGTACTGTTGCTGATAATATAATTATAGATTTATAAATAGATATACATATGTCACTTTTTATCATAATTATAAATGAATTACTGTGGTGGTAAGACAAATAAGGCTTTGTCAATGTTCAATACTGGATATGGAATTCGTTTTCTGTCGCTTCGCTACGATATTTTACGTCTCGCAATTGTAGAGAGAGAAAAAGAACTTCATTTCATAATGAAACTGATTCAGATACAAATAAATAAGATATAAAATAAGATAATAAATAAGATATAATAAAAAAAAACAAATAAGCTTAACTCTCAATATTTTGGATAGGACAGGCAAAATTCCTCCCACTAAAATGCCACGCCCACTCGTGATTGACCATCGTTGGCACCCAAATGTAGAACAACACAAAATCTGATGGCCCACATTCTGACCTCTTTCCCAGGATACTAACACAAAAACCCCAGTCAGATTAAAGTTTTCACAAAAATTCCATTTCTGCGATAAACGCGGAAATGTTGGAATTTGAGGACTGATAGAGTCGATAGATTATTGGGATTAGTCATCGTGGCTTCACTCACGTTCAATGCTCTCTTTGGTTGGCTTGGGCGGTGGCGGAGGACCCGGTCGTCCCTTCCTAGGGAAGTGCAGTGTGTAGTCCGGCACAGGAACTGGTGGCGGAATCTCGTCATTGCTCTGTTCCGGGATCTTCTTGGGCCGCTTCACCTCGTGGCGACTTTGGAAGTATGACCAAGGCAGCTGACTACGTAGCTCCTCGGGCGGTGCTTGTTGGGAGAATCTGGTGGCGTCTGAGTATGTCTTCCTAATCTGTGGCTTCTCGTCGCGATTCAGGGAGCCGCCGACAGGCTTGGTGTGTCTCATGATCACGGGATTGTGTGGTTCCTCTTCTCTTGGGTGTCTCCTATCGTTGGAAATCCTCCCGTAGCCCACGTAGGAAGAGTCCCGAGAATGCTCAGGACTGATCTCAGTGCTTCTGGAGTGGGAAGCTGAATCCTCAGACTCACCGCCTTTCAAGGGTTCCAAGAATCTTCTCTCAGTCGTGACGATCGGTTGTGGTTTCAGCGCTGAGACTGGCTCTGCCTGATAGGTGTGATTATCGTACTGATAAGGATGTGGATTGGCGTCCTCGTATCTGCTGCGAGTCTGGACCGGAGCGACATACTTCTGAACGGATTGAGGCTGTTGTTGTGGCGGATGCTGAGAGATGTGGTCAGCCGTTCTCCGCTGAACCATCTCTGACGGTGGATATTGTCTGTCATACCCAAAGTCTGGCGCTCTGAGAACTTTGGGGGACTTCTTCTCTAGGTGCTCTTCCAGCTTCTTCATGGACATGAAGACAATGATCATTCCGGTGAAGTTAATTATGGCAATTATAACGCCACGAGATGAGACCACGGCCATGATGACGGATGGAATGGGGAGTGCCACAATGGAGACATCTTGCAGATACGGCAGCAGCTGATCTCTGTTTTCCACTTGAATGAACTCCAGGAAGTTCATAAGTGTCTGCGAAAATCGAAGCATTAATTCTCTGTTCTCAAAGCACTTGATCAACTGAATGTCTCACCGTTGTCCATGTGATGTCGTATATATGAAAGCCCGTGGAGATGAGATCAAAGACAAAATTGAGAAGGCAGGTGATGGCAAAGGCGACGCAGAAGAATCGCAGGAATGATCTGCTGAAGCTGGATGAGCTCGTGGCAGCTGAAAAGGAGATCGCACAATCGTCAATTGAAGAGGCCCATAAAGACATGTCTATTGTGTTGAAATATTGGTGATCATTAAATCATTATCTTCTTAAAAGGCAGTTTGATAAGATTTCGGACAATTTTCAACGACATTTGAGATTTGATCACGCGATGACCACTTTTTTTGACCACCTCTGTTTTGACAAAGTGACTCTCCGCGCGCGATCGCTATCGCGCGAATGCTTTCCGCTGAACTTCTCCGTGTGTTGGTGAGAGTTTTGTTGATTCTCAGAAGATGCTCACCTATAAACATGATGGATGTGAGGATCCACACACAGCTCAAGACGATGTAGATCTTGATGAAGATCTGCATCCTGACGGCGACGTCGGACACATCAGGCATTATCACCTGCACTCCTGGCGGAATGTCGATTCCCAGGAGTGACCAGTTCACTTCCCCGCACTGTGCATCTGTTTTCAGGAGGAAGAACAGGTGAAAAGATGGATGATTTGGGGGCAGATAAGGAATAAAAAAACTTATGGACACTCACGCCGAAAGTATGCGAGGTAGATTAGGTAACTGAGTTGGGAGGTGTCCATTTGAACGTCGCATTGGTGCGCCAGAATGCCATAGATGCCCATTATCAGGAAACCAATTGCCTGAATCTGAAAGAGGGCACCGTGATCTTTTCGCTGAAGTGTGCAAATACTCCACTGTTTACTTACCAAGGCAAAAAGTCCCGTGAAGAGCATTAGGCAACGAAGTCCACAAGCCATTTTCACCTTCAAGTCTCGCTTTTTTCCACTCTTCACTCACACGTATGATCAGAACATAAGTGCTGAACTAATGACCACTTGGATGGTGACTTGGCGATGGATTCCTGGGCTGATCCTCGGCGCAATCACTCGTCATCGATGTTGTGTGGTCGAGTGAAACTCATTGACTGTACATTTTCGGGGGTGATTATCGATCACAGACGCAGAAGAGGCGCAGCGTAAGTTGGTGGCGATAACACGAGGCAATAATAGGAAGGTTTTGTGATTAATTTGCTGGTGATAAGTTTTTTTCTGCACATTGGACAATGGTTAGATTAGGAAGCCACATTTAACACTTCTCGTCTCACTGTCTTTCCCATTGTATTCCAGGCACACCGCAGTATAGAATTTCACTCCACTCGCGTGATCTGCCAAGATCGCTGATTTACACACAAATGACACTGAGAAAAGCTGACGATCTCACTGTTTTCTGCGCTTCGTGGGGGGACTCGTTATGTAATTTTAATATCCAGAGTTGTTTAGAATTTAATTACACAGATTTTGTTTTCTCTACAAAGATTTTCTCTTCACGACAAGAGAAGCCCGTGAGCCAGTGAACTCGGTGCGATTCACTGGAAAGATCAGTCGAGACTGTAAATGCAGGTGTAATTCTCGAGAGACTTTCCTGGGCTTCAGCATTCACTATTTTTACTGTGTTTGGATCTCTCATTCAACAATGTTTCACGATAAGATAGTGATATTTGCAGAACATCGCGATGTGTGGAAGAGCTAAGAGTAGTCTTCTCTCTATTTTTCCCACTGAAAAATACAAACACTTTTATCTCTTCTGGAAAAAAGCAATATACACACTGAAAAGTAGTGAAATTACCGAGAAGGCGAATTTCAAGAAGGAAAGAAAATGAGGAAAAATACACAGTGTTCCATTTCGAGAACAAAAAGTTTTGGCAGGTAAATGAATTAGTGAAAATCGAACAGTTTTTTACGTCATTAAATAGCTGATGAACCATCGATAAGAGCACTCAAAGTATTTTTATTTAAAATTTTAATCGTCTCCTCCTTCATCTATTTAACTAACTGTAAGATTAATACACTTGGTGAGGCTTCTGTAATGAGACACTCTGTCAGCAAGTAAATAAATGAAATGTAGAGTGTGTCGCTTAAATTATACTGGTAAATAGAAGCTGTTCAGGTGAGAGTACCTCAAGTGCCTCATGACGCATACGAGTGGGTTTTTTTCGTCCACCGAATAATACGCAAAGTGTTCATCTTATCACCATTTCCACTGATAAAGTCCAGATAGTGTGATTTTTATTCATCTTTCACCACTTCTATGTTTTCTCATCCACGGCAATTGTCATGACTCATTAATTACATTCACTCTCTTTGCAAATGTCCGAGTATTGTCCCTATTTTCGTATGTTTTTATTGACCAGAACTTGCGTCGATAAATGAATGTCTGTCTAATATATTTTCTCGCTGACTCAATGAAATGATTTACAGTGTCTATTGAAGAGCTATATGAAAAAATGGCTGAAGAAAGAAACTCGCTGTCTCCGTGTTTGGGTCAAGGTGAGTCAACTTATTTGTGTTTTAGCTGTGACACACTATGTGTAAAAAAACAGCAGTCAATTGAAAAGAAAAATTGTAAATTCACTGAGAGTCCCAGTGGAATTTTTATCACAAATATTTCTCATTCTTTCAGCTCAAAACAACAAATTTATGAGGGAGATTTACACGCATTTCTGTTTTTTTTCTCCCAGACTTGATCTTGAAGCTCTGCGCTTCGCAATGCCACGAAATAAGTGGGAAAATCAACCGAAAATGAGTTCACACCTTCCTAATTAAATAAAATCATCTCAAGTACGAACATGTATGTATAAAATGTCATCAACACTGCTAAAATGCTCAAGTTCACAAACAAGCATGAGAATTCTGCCAATGAAGAATGCTCTAAGTGACATAATTAACAAAGATCATATAGAATTTTTAGTGTCATAAAGTAAGTTTACAAGGCACAGTAAATACGTTTGATTCGAAGATGTGATAAAGCGAGCAGTTTGCTTTCCAATTGCCCACTATCACGCTTATCAGTTTAATAAGCTCTATTCCTCTCGTGTTACTTTATTGTGTCTGCTGTGTTAACCGGTGTTTTCCGACAGCATGTGAAAAATGTTGGGTAAAAATTACATCTTAAGAATCCACTTTATCAAAGTGCACTACTATAAAATGCTTCAGTTGATAGGATTATTACGCCATAATCTTTCCAATAAGCAAACGTTTATGAAAGGTTCTGATTGAACATAGTAAAAGTGAAGGATGGAATATATTTGTGTTTTCTTCTTTATCTTGTTCTTTATGCTCCACCACTAAATTATTGAGGTAGAAAATTACGTGTGAATAACAATGGAGTATATAAAATACAAGGAGGGGTTAAAGATCGGATGAGGATTAAAATCAAGGCATTTCAAAATTCAATATACACTTGAGGGCTCTTTATTTAATAGTAATTTATGAAATCATGCGCAAAGCCAACGATAGAAGACATACTATTTGTGAATTGACGATATATTTCCAATAATACTTTATTCTCTTAAAGAATTCATGCTCTAAATAAACTATGATACAGACAATGTGTAATTCCTGCACTCCTCTAGTGTCAAGAAACTTTTAACTTCCAAAATATTTTCGATGAACTCCACAACCGTTCATTGGTCTCCCGCCAAGTAAGAGATCGAAAATTTCACTGTCCACTGGAAGTGCCTTTGTTGCTGAGAGCATGAATAATTGCGCAATAAGATCCTGATAATTTCACCAACTGTTGGAAAGGAATACTCATTATTCTCAAAAGTAACAGTTCTCAAAAGTATGTCACATTACAAACCTCAACAAACGTGTAGATGGAAACATCCACAATGCCGACAGCTTTAAGGCCGCAAGGTTTCTGAGCATTGTGAAGGATATGAAGAAGATTCCATTTATCTTCCGGTGTGAATTCATACCATTTGGTGAGATAAAAGGCATTCGGAAATGCAGACATTTTCGCAAATATAATCTCCCCGAAGAGACAAAAAGTGAATATTTGACAAATGACCACCACTATTATGATGAAATGAGCTATATCTAGGCCATACATAACGACGACATAGAAGAGAAAAGTTGTTCCAATGAAAGTGGATAAGATCTGCGAGAAGGACATGTAAAAAAGAATATCTGACAGCTCATGAAACATATTCAGCAACTTCAAGTGCATTCGATAAGCTGTTTTCAAGATATCTTGGTGCTCCTTGTACATTTCGATGTGTTCTAGCTTGGAAATCACTTCTTCCAAGCTCACTAATTCACTGCGTAATTGGAAAGCGAACATAATAATCATGCAATCACTTGTTCCAATCGCTGTGAGAGTTGCACAGAAGATAAAGCACTGAAACACAGTATTCGTCAGATGAAAGTAAAGATTGTCCGGACTGAGGAAAGGGATGTAATATTGCATTGGATAAGGTAAACCGCCGACTTGTCGAATGAAAACTTGGAGGAGGATTTCTGAGAACCACAGCATAATCCAATAAGCTCTGAAAATTGTAAGAGACAATGAAATTGAGAATCAAACATTCCCAGATAACTTACATGACTCCATAAGTGATGCCATGAATATGAGCTGAATTGTGACGACGTCTCACATCTTTGACCAAAAGATTGTCGTCCTCAGTGTAGAATTTTCTCAGTTGTGAGAAAATAATCTTAAGATTCTCGCAGTGGACCACCAGCATTATTGCCTTTCCACAGCATTGCACATGAACCGCCAGAAAAAGGATTGTGTAAGTAACTTGAACGCGATTACTGCTATTAAATGACCAAGTGATTTGATAAATGCTGAAACAAGTGCTTATGAAGAAAACCAAAGGAAATATATAGTTGAAAATGCGAAGTTTAGGGTTTCGAATTCCAAGATTTATGAATAAAATGCATCCTTCAAAGAATTTATTCAGCCTGTCGAATTTTCGAAGAGATATTTCTTCCATAGTTTCACTGTTTTCACTCATTCCTTTGTCCTTTTGATCTATAGATTTATTGAAACGATTGAAACGCACTGTTCATAACGTCGCTTTGCCTATCGTATTTATTACCTACTTCTTTTTAAAATTTCCATCAATAATTACAATAAGAAAAAGTAGATCAATTAAGAATAACGATTTATGACAACTATCTACGTAAAACTAAAGTGTGCATATGAAGTTGAGTCCTTAACCAAATCGGCCAAAAATATGTGGAAAACTTCCACTGAAAACGAAAAGAAAAATTCTTTTAGTTCTAAAACTATTCCTAAATATTTCTAACATTTCTTTTAATTTAATTTCACTATAACAATTTAAGAGCCGATTTTGATCGTAGCTCAAGTTGCAGGTTCTTCTGGCATATTGTTTTCCTGAACAACATCTCACAACGCATAAGATTTTTTCTTAAACCTTTCGTATTTTAGAAAATTCCACTAAATTTGAGCTTACCATTCTTAATTACATTGAGAAGATGATAAAATTATTGCTTGAAAAGTGACATTTTAGCCCTGCGCCTATTTTGACAAACTGATTGTTAAATATTGTTTTTTTTTCATGCAGTCAATATTATATGTTACTCTTGACAAACTCTTATTACATATAACACTTATCTGATGTATCACAAATGTGTGTTCACACTTCCTGTCATTTGTACACAGTGTACTAAGCTCTATAACTAAAGATATTTGTGTATTTCAAGAATGAATATTTCACTGTCCAGTGGAAGTGCCTTTGTTGCTGAGAGCATGAATAATTGCGCAATAAGATCCTGATAATTTCACCAACTGTTGGAAAGGAATACTCATTATTCTCAAAAGGCACCACTCTTAAAAGTACAAATATCACATTACAAACCTCAACGAACGTGTAGATGGAAACATCCACAATGCCGACAGCTTTAAGGCCGCAAGGTTTCTGAGCATTGTGAAGGATATGAAGAAGTTTCCATTTATCCTCCGGTGCAAAATCATACCATTTGGTGAGGTAGAAAGCATTCGGCAATTCAGACATCTTTGCAAATATAATCTCTCCAAAGAGACAAAAGGTGAATATTTGACAAATAACCATCACGATTATTACGGTGTGGGCAATATCGAGACCGTACATGAAGACGACATAGAAGAGAAATGTCGTACCGATGAAAGTGGATAAGATCTGCGAGAAGGACATGTAAAAGAGCATATCGGTGAGATGATGAAACATATTCAGCAACTTCAAGTGCATTCGATAGGCGGTTATCAAAATATCTCTGTTTTCCTTGTACACTTCGGTATCCTCCAGCTTAGCAATCACTTCCTCTAAGGACACTAATTCACTGCGAAATTGAAAGGCGAACATGATGATCATGCAATCACTGGCAGAGATTGCCATAAAACCAGCACAGAAAACAAAGCTCTGAAATACAGTATTCGTCAGATAAAAGTAAGGATTGTCCGGGCTAAGAAAAGGGATGTAATATTGCATTGGATAAGGCACACCGCCGACTTGTCGAATGAAAAATTGAAGAAGTATTTCTGAGAACCAAAACATAATCCAGTAAGATCTATAAGAAAATTGTAAGATAGAGAGGTATGCAATATTTAAAAGTAATTGAACATTAAACATTCCTATAAAACTTACGTGATTCCAAGAGTAATGCCGTGAATATGAGCTGAATTGTGACGACGTCTCACATCTTTGACCAAAAGATTGTCTTCTTCAGTGTAGAATTTTCTCAATTCTATGAAAATATCCTTAAAATCATCGGAATTAATCACTAACATGAGTCCTTTTCCACAGAATTGCACATGAACCGCCAGGAAAATAATTGTGTAAGTAACCTGAACGCGATTAGGACTGTGAAAAGACCAAATAATTTGATAAATGTTGAAGCAAGTGCTTATGAAAAAAATCAGAGGAAATATATAGTTCAAAATGCGAAGTTTAGGGTTTCGAAGGCCAAGATTAGTTAACAAAATACATCCTTCAAAGAATTTATTCAATCTGTCGAATTTTCGAAGAGATATTTCTTCCACCGCTTCACTATTTTCACTCATTTTTTGACCTGAGCTTAAAGGATATTGAAACGCACTGTTCGAAACGTGGCTTAAGCTATTCTATTTATTTCCCTTTTTCTATATATAATTTATATTGAAACTACGGTTAGAAAAAGGAGGTAAAACCAATGATCAATTTATTATACAATTTATGACAACAACTAAAAGCAGAGTGTGCATATGAATTTGAATCTTCATCTTCTATATTTGGAGTATTCAGGGTATTTTAGAGGACATGTCTTTGAAAATATTGAATGATAATTTAGTGTGAAACCAGAAATTGATTGATTGTAGTAGTAAAGTTTGCAAAGTTACTCGTAATTCTTTTCTCAACTACAGCCAAATATTAAACATTTTCTCAACGAAATCTCACTAGATTTAGTTAATCTTTTTAAACCTATGTTTTGTAGCTCATTGGACTTTGAACCGATTCATGAGCTTTTTCTTCTAATATCAACAATTGCGGGCGCGATGCGCCCCGTTACACAAATAAAATGAAATATAGACAGATTAAAAGTTGGTGCAACTGTCTGAAAGTTCTAGGTGTTCTTTCATTTTTCATTAAATATCGACATGTGCACAGAATGTAGTAAAATATTAAAAACCGCAGTCACATAATAAATTTTTCAATTGCGTTAATAAAAGATGATGTTTATTATGTCTCGGAAAATCAATATACGATTTATCAATTTCTTGCCACCCCAGAGAAAGTGGAGGCAATTTTAAGCGAAATAATAGCAATTTGCAGTGTAGGAAAATATGTGGAATGAGTACAAGGATATGGCCAGGAACTCACCATCTGTTTTAAATTGGTCTTGATGTCATTTATAATACAAATGCTTCAGCTAGATTCACGCGCTCTATCTAGAGATTGATATTCAATTTCATTAATATACTCATACCAATATTCCTCTGTATTTCGAAAGCAATTTCAATAGTTTCTTATTGAATTTTTGATGATTTGCAATTGATTATGTGGAGTTTTCTGAAGATTAAGTGCTCAACGAAAATTAAGAGTCACATCTTTTCTTTCAATTGTAACCATTCCATGCTTTATAATGACAGTACCTTGGAGAGTACATAAGGACGATAGCATTAGTGACATTTTTCTTCTTTATGTAGTTACATTTAGTGCCACTGCATTTACATTTTTTATACAACTTGTGTTTGAGTACTTTGGTGAATAGTTTATGTGAATTTAATACTTTGATCAAACAAAGTAATTTTTGTTACATTAAGCTTGTGTAATTCCTGTGATTTCTGCAGTGATTAATAAATCTCTCAATTTCGTCTCCAATGAAGAATGAATACTTCACTGTCCAGTAGAAGTGCCTTTATTGCTGAGGGCATGAAAAATAGCGCAATAAGATCCTGATAGTTTCACCAGCTGTTGGAAATACTCATTATTCTCACAACGACAAAGAAATTTAAAACCTAAAAAGTGAATTATATTACAAACCTCAACGAACGTGTAGATGGAAACATCCACAATGCCGACAGCTTTAAGGCCGCACGGACGTTGGGCGTTGTGAAGGATATACAGCAGTTTCCATTTATCCTTCGGTGTGAATTCATACCATTTTGTGAGGTAGAGAGCATTCGGTAATGCAGACATCTTTGCAAAGATGATCTCACCGAAGAGGCAAAGGATAAATATCTGACAAATGACCACCACTATTATGATGAAATGAGCGATATCTAGGCCATACATGACGACGACATAAAATAAAAACGTCGTTCCGATAAATGTTGATAAAACCTGAGAGAAGGACATGTAAAAGTAGACATCGGACAGCTGTTGAAACATATTCAGCAATTTTAAGTGCATTCGATAAGCTGTTATCAAGATGTCTTTGTTCTTCTTGTATATTTCAATGTCTTCTAGCTTGGAAATCACTTCCTCTAAGGACACTAATTCACTGCGGAATTGAAAAGCGAACATGATGATCATGCAATCACTTCCTGCCATTACAGTGAGACCAGCAAAGAAGAGAATGTTTTGAAATATAGCATTTGTCAGATGAAAGTAAGGATTAGATGGGCTGAGGAAAGGGATGTAATATTGCATTGGATAAGGTATTCCGCCAACTTCTCGGATGAAAACTTGAAGGAGGATTTCTGAGAACCAGAACATAGTCCAGTAAAATCTACAAAATGTTAAAACCGGAAAATAAAGTCCTCTGAAAGTTTTTCGTCTTTTCCAGTAAACTTACATGACTCCATAAGTGATGCCCTGAATATGGGTTGAATTGTGACGACGTCTCGCTTCTTTGACCAAGAGATTGTCTTCCTCGGTGTAAAATTTTCTCAATTCTATGAAAATATTCTTGATATCTTCGTAATTGACAACCATCATTAGTGACTTTCCCCAACTTTGCACATGAACTGCCAGGAAAATGATTGTGTAAGTAACTTGAACGCGATTGGGACTATCAAAAGACCAAATAATTTGATAAATGTTGAAGCAAGTGCTTATGAAGAAAACCAGAGGAAACATATAGTTGAAAATGCGAAGTTTAGGGTTTCGAATTCCAAGATTTATGATTAAAATGCATCCTTCAAAGAATTTATTCAGCCTGTCGAATTTTTGAAGTGATATTTCTTCCACAGTTTCACTATTTTCACTCATTTTTTGGACTGAGCTTTAGGGATATTGATAGGAACTGACTGAAATGTAGCTTAAGGTATCCTATTTATTTCTATTTCCATGTGTAGATTTTCTATAGAATATCATGATAAGAAAGGAATAATGATTTAACCCTCGCTATTAAGTATAATTTCTTCTAAAATTGCCCATCTATAAAGTAAAGTGTTCGTATGGAAAGTAACACACATTCTAGTATTTTGATGACAGTATATATGACAGTAATATATACATATATTATGATAGATAAATATTACATATATATTTAATTGGAATGAAATTCGCCAAAACGTCTCCACAAGTAAACCTCATTATTTTGAGAGTTTGTCGTAAGAAATATAGAAATTACTTCCTCGTTCACCAATGCAGGGCGCGATGCGCCTCGTAAATCAATAGAGACACTCACAACCTAGAAGTTGGTGCAACTCTTTGATAGTTGCATCGCTTTTGCATATTTTAGAGAATATCGACGTTGGACGATTTGTTTAATAATGAATTTAGAATTTACCAATCTGCGGTGTTGGAAAATTTGTTTTAAACAATCCAAGGATGTACTCAAGGACCAACTATTTGTGCCTGGAATTGATTGTGGTGTCATTAAATACAAATGAAGCTATTATCAATCAATTCTTTACTAGACTCCACGGGCTCCACCTAGAGAAGATTGATATCCAATTTCAAAAATACATTTCGTATCAATATTTCTTTGTATTTATCAGCAAAACTCGTTAGTTTCTTATGAAATTTAATACTGATGATTGGCATGAGTTGCGATTTATTTACAAATGGTCGTGAGGCATCTTGTGAGCTTCTCTCGTTTGGCTCTTTAAGCTTTAACTCCAGACGGCCCTGGCTCGTTCATCGATGACAATGAAGGATAGATTGCAGTCTGCTGAAGACTCTGTTGCTGAACCATTGGATTTTGGGGAATGACGACTTGTTGTGAATAAGGCGCAGTGGGTTGAGTCGCCGTGGTTGCAGAAATTGGCTGATCACTGACAATTCCCGGCGTGAGTGGCTTCCTCTTGATCCTGTGGATTCTGATACACATGTAAATGAAGATGGAGAGGTTTATAAACCATCCAATGACCGCTCTGCTGGATAAGAGGGACATCATGAGAGCTGGGAGAACCAAAATGTGTTGCGGGATAGCATTGAAGTAGAAATAGTACTCTGGTTCGTAAGGAATTCCCAAGAATTCAATGAGACCCGAAACATCCTGAAGAAATAGTATTTAATTAGTTTAGTTGCCAATGCGAAGTGCCTTCAAAAACTCACCCAGGTATCTATCATATCCACAACGTGGAAGTAAGTGGCGGCCACATCCTGGAGCAAGATGAACAGACACACAAGAGCCCATGGGTAGATGAAGCACTTGAAGGCTGTTCGACCCATGCAGGGTGAAAACACCGCAACTGAGCAGGAAAAATGTGTTTATCAGGCTATAAAACTCACATATGGACACCGATGTTACTCACCGATAAGCATAATCGATGTCACAATCCACAGGATGCTCGTGATAAGATATACCATCAGGATGACCTGCGTTCTCTCCACGGCTTCAGTGATTACTGGCAAGTGAATATCTACCTCTGGTGAGGGATAAATCTGCAAAGCATCCCAATCAATTGTACTGTTTCCGCATCCTTCATCTGTGAGCAGAAATTCATTTTTATAAGAGAGAGAATTTTTGAGGGCCTTCTGTAATTGACTTACGTCTGAAGTAGAGGAGATGGATGAAGTATTTGACTTGGGTAACACTCATATCGAAGGCACAATCATATGCCCTCATGCCCAGGATCGCGGCTATGAGATATCCAGCACCCTGAGCCTGAAATGTATGAGCTTATGATAGAAACTTTCACACGTAAACATTCAATAAAATGCACTTTATTATTAAGCTGAAGTGAAGGTTAATTGCCTTCACCATTTAATCACTTCTTGATCGATAATTTGATAAGCTTTAATTGCAGAATCCTCACCATTGACCACACGGATACGAGAAGGAACGCAATTCTCGTGGTACAGCTGGCCATTGCAGAGATCTTAAACTGTTCACTGAACTCAAGAAGTTGAAGGGGCCAATTAGAGACTGAATTATTCGGTGGTTTGCAGCAAAGTGAGTCTGACTGACTATAAATTCAGGTAGTTAAGGACCATTGGGGCCTGATAAGCTTGCCGTGGGGGTGATAAAGGTGAGTCATTGGTTTCGATAACACTTTTCAACAGCCTCATTGATGAGATTATCAGGGTGGAAATGGTCGAATGGTTTTTACGTCTGTCTCAACTGAGCATTGCTTATCAGTGGTACTTTTCAACGTGATTTACACAGCGTGTATCAGTATTTTGTTGGAGTGCTAAAGAGTCTAATTGGCAGTTTTTCAGTCACTAGTTATACACGTTATAAAACTTATGTATTTCCATTTAGTACCTTATTTACACAGCATTGAGAGAATATTTGAGATGGAATTGCATCACATGAAGACACTCCTTGTTGCTTTACTTTTTAACACTGGGCGTGAGAATGACCGGATCGGCTTCCACCTCAGCTGCCTTCTCCTTCAGATCGTCCTTCTCATCCTCAGTGATCACTGGCTTTGGGACTTCCTTGCAGGGAGATTCACCAGAATCTTGATCTTTGCACGGTGCTTTTGTGCTGACAGGTTTAGCAGTGGTTGAAGATGATGAAGTGTTCTCCAGGGGAGCTGCAGTTGTTGCCTCCTTCTGAACCTCCTCAGATGATTCTTCTGAGGATTCCTCCGATGAATCCACGAGCTTCGCCTTCTCCGTCGTTGGCTTCAAAATGAAGGCTATCGGGGCCAGAATTGAAAGATCATTAACTGGCTTTGGCGGCTCTGCTTCACTCTCATGAGCCACACTCTCCTCATTCTCGGAGGCTTCAGCCAAAAGTTCAGCCACATGCAGAGTGTCAGGATTGAAGATCACTTGCTCAACAGCAAAGTATCCATTATTATCTTCGTCCGGGAAGACAACAGGCGATGCACCGATAAAGCACACGCCAAAGGCACACGCAAATATCTATCGAGAAGTGCAGAAAGTCTATCAGATCAGAAGCTTTAAGAAATGATTTTGATTATATCTCACCAGTAAGATCCTCATTCTGGCTCAAGTTATCTGGAAAATGATCAACTGAAGTCGCATGAGTGGACGTGTTGGGATTTTATACGGCGCAACACAGAGAAGTTGGTGGATTTTCGCAGAAAAAAAATCCACCGAATACAATGATCTGCCGGACTGACGCGATCAGTGATAATTTGTTACTAAAATACTTGAGAGTAGCACATAAATCAGAGCTTCCAGAAGGGGCTTCTCACTGGCGGCGAGACAGGAGCGAAAGAGACGAATCTCTGAGGCAATATTTTTAGGAGAGACACGCGTTTTGCTGTCGTCTCATGCAATTAACGTGGCTCCCAATATAGCTCCCAAAGTGTTGCGGAGACGCGCGATCCTTGATCAGCGGAGTGAGAATTTGATTGGCGCCTTTTTCTTCCAAAATCACCAGTCAAAACTAATCATTCCGCCGAAATTTTATGATCATGCGCGAAGATCATAAGAATATAGCGATCACACGGAATCACTTCTGACACTGAACATCGACGGAATTCCCATGGAGATTTCTAGGTTGATCCTAATATTTCTGGATATGAAGAAAAACATTCTGAAACTCCCTCAAAGTCAAATATGATCAAGCATAATTATTTTTCATTGACGATTGTACATCAAACTATTCTTATGCTTTCGCTATTTGTCTTTTAGAACTTCTTGTTAAACTTTTCATTATCATGTCAGTCGAGCATCTGCATTGCTAACAACTAAATTTCTCGCTAATTTGAGTTATTGGATTATAAGAATGCCTCATGAGAACTCCGCAATACTCATTGTGGTCACTTTTCACTTCTAGTGACGACATTTTTCCCGAAGCACCGAGAAATTTTCACCAATTATCACATTCTTATGGACTGAACTTATGAAATTAATTAAAATTCTGTCGAGTTTGTGTAAAATGACGTGAATTGTGTTTCTCTCGCGCAGTTTTCTGTTCCATGAAGACATGAGCGTGCCCCAGTGGCGAATGACGATGGCTTTTTTTTAGTGGGTCGCTCACAAAAAGCCATCGTTCTAATTGATCTTTGCGTAAATTGTCGTTTGTAATTTTTCCATTCAATCCTTATACGCTCAGGGTGCAAATGAGAAATTTTTCCACTGAGAAATTAGTTTTTTTGCTAGAATACAAATACTGGCGATCGTGCTGGACATGATCACGTTTTTCTCTGCTGCGCAGCTTTATTTCCAAAGGATTCACAAAGTGGCATTATTTGGGGGAAAGACAAGGGATCAGATCACCTTCCCACCTCGGCCACGTGTGATCCACACGAAGATGATCATAGGCAAGATAGGAAGTGTTAATTGTTGATGTGAAACTTCACCCCTCGATCACTCGCTAAACTGCCACGCTATATTTGTCTCGCAATATGATGAGTGATGATTTGAAATAAGGGAAATTGTTTCGCCTGTGGGACATTTGACAATATTTACCAATGTCTTTCGTGTGTGAAAATGTTGATCATCAACTGACGACACAATCTATTCACACAATTTGCCCGATCGCGAGTTTTTGTTTGGCGCTGATTCATATAGTGGCCGCATCTCGCTCACTCTCAGTGGATCACTTCTTCATCTCGCGAGTGGTTGACGCCAAAACTTAATTAGACACCCTATGCTGAATGACTTTGGGTATAAAACAGACCGATCGCGCCTCACCAGCAGTCAGAGATTGGAAGGCAAGACAATAGTGAATACAGCAAAATATCCTCCAAGAGATACAAATCGCGATCATGATGTTCATCAGAGTCCCAGTTTTCTGTGCCATCTTCTGCGGGTGCTTGTGGATTGCCAGTGGATTGCCGGTGATTGATCTCACGGGTGGAACTGTGTCCCTGCCCGCGGAGCCAGTCGGTGACGGCGTGAGCATCCCACAATCTGAGCTGTCGCTGGCCGAGCTGGTCTCCGAGCAGAACACCACGGAGAATGGCACACTCAAGGACCTGTACGTGATCCGGGCCGTTGTCTACGAGATTGGAATCCTCACTGATGTACCTGAAAATGAGACAGATACCGCCACAAATGATACTGAGTTGATGTAAGTCTATAATCTCGAGCGCGATTGCGTGCGATCACACCCAAATCGACTGAATCTAATTGACCGATGTCTTTTTCCAGTAATGAACGTGTCGATCTGACCTTCTTCAACGCCCACAAGAATGACACACACTTGGATCTGGGCGAGATCCCGCTGCCGGTGCAGACAAACGTGAGCGGACAGGTGCTGACAGGCATCGCTCCGGTGAATCTGGGCTCTGTGGATGTGGACCATCCGGAGGAGATCCTCGAGACACTCCCCATCACGGGCACCATCGTGAACATCACGAGGAGTGAGTCATCGATGTTCGTCATCAACACACAGAACGTGACATTTGAGCAGTTGAACACGTACCTGGACGAGGACGACCTCACGAAGATCCCCGTCGTTAGCAATGTGATCCCAGCCATTGAGAACCTTGAGACGTCCAACAACATACCGCTCTCGGAAGCTCTGAGTGATCTTCTGTAGAATCCAACGCCCGCATCACACGATCATCTTCCATAGCATAATTGTTTTTACATATAAAATTAGCGCGTAATTCTCTCTTAAAGACTGTTAATATGTTAAATGTACTATGTAAATTGATTACAAAGTCAAATTATGTACAGAGACAAATGTAAATTGTAAAAAATAATGAACAGAACAATTCTTTAGAAAAAAATGTTTGCCGTCTTTTCGTCCCACCGAAAGTTATTCAATGGAGGAAAAGGTGTGAATTGGAAGCGCACGAGGAAGCTAAAATTAGAGAAAAGTCGATAATTTGGCATAAAAATCCAGTGGAAAAATTTACTCAGCTACAATTTCTAGGAATGTTTTTATTTGCAAAAACACGCTGAAGTGCTGAAGCAAATATGAGGCTTAGATTCAACAGACTCGTGCCAGGAATAATAACACTGATGGTAGTTTTCTAAGATAAACTACTTCAAAAATATTCCTTAAGCAGTTTAAAATCGGTTTGAAGAATAGCTGAGATGAGGAGCAAGAAAAGTCGATTTCTTCATTCTTCCGAAATTTTTTTGGCATCAAAAAATTTGAGTGTTTGCAAATCAAGACTTCCTGTGTGAAATTGCAAAAAGAAAAATCATTCACATCACGAAGTGAACGTCTTCTCAGATAATTTGAGCTAATAAGGGTCAAACAAGATGAAAATATGATTCAAGTATCAATTGAAGACAGCAGCGACTCGCTGAAATCCGCGTGCGCGTATTCCAAAGTCTCTCAGTCCAATCGAAAATCGGGGAGAAGTTAAAAGATTTGCATTTGTCCTGTTATCATTTCTTTTATTTTCTATACATGAGTGTTTTCTATCTAAATTTTCTGCACTTATTGACTTGTAAATTTTTCTGTATATCCATTTTCTTCACTTTCGGGGGAAATAATTTCCTTGTTAGCATAAAAAAGTGTTTCTTTTCCTCTCTCTCATTCTCTTTTACTGATTAAATATTATTACGAATGTCGGGGAGGGATCGAGAATACAAAGATTCAAATGAACATCACTTCAGTGTAATCAGTTTCCTTAATGTTTTTTCCATTTTCTCTCATTATCCTTGTCGTATCAAAGTATTTTCTTCTCATATGATTTACAACTTTTACCCTCCCTGTTTAGGATGTCTCATAATTTCTAATTTTTCTTTAAATACATATTTGTAAAATATGAGAAAGATACAATCTTCGGGAAATTAATAAATTAAATTATAACTTATATATTAATGTCTAGTTCCTCGTCTTCTTTCTCCCTTTCTATCTCTTTCTCTCTCTCTCTCTCTCTCTGTCAATTAATATCCACGAGAGGTGAGATTTATTTTAATAGTCTCACACGGAATCTTGTTCTTTTTTTTCTCTATCTGCAAATGGATTTTGCGCCATTTGTCAGCCTGTCGTAAGATCATTATATATTTACACCTGCCTTTTTAATACATTCTATCGTACTTCTCTCTTTTTTTGCCCAGTATATAAACATAAAAAGCATTTTTCTACATCTCATCATAAGCTTTTTTATCTCCCTTATCTTTCCTGTGTCCTAGAATATCAACATTCAAGTTAAAATAAATGAAATTTATGTTAAAATTAAGGAAAACATGGACATCTTCCGAAAGTTTTTAGCAGAAGAGATAAAAACAGATTGAAATTTGGCTTTTCTCTATTTTTACATGAACTGGTTGTGATTATTTTTGTGGGGTGCGCTCATTTTCAAGGCACTCTAACTATTTACTGCATCGTTTATTACTCCTCGCTTCAGCTGCAATTATATCCATTTGCTATCTTGACTATTTTTATTCCTGTGTCAGCAAAGTACAAGTTACCAAAAGAAAGAAATTCAAAAATTTCCACAAAACAATGCAAAATCAATGTTCTACAGAAGAAAAAGAAATTGTGTTCACACATTTCACGCATTTTTTTTCTCACTTGAAACCAAATCCAAAGACAGAAAATCGAAGGGAAATAAATCCGCCAATTTGGCAATACAATCCCCATAATAAATTGTCCTTATAATCAAATCTGTTCTGTCGCTTTTTTGCTAGTTTTAAAATAGATTTTTATTGTAATTACCTAGACATAATAGAGGAGTTAAATAATTATTTGTAAGATTATTATCCTTCTGTTCGCTCCCGATGGATCGCACACGAAGTATTGGAGTAGACTTTTCTGCATTTCCCATCACACACGCGCATTCTCGCTCTCTTCAAATTCACCTTAAAATGTATTATTATAAAACACAGCTTGAGGAATTTCTCGGCATTTTGTCCTTCCACCTTCTCTTGGAATTCTTTTAATCTGCAATCAAGAAGATATCAAAGTGTCACAAATCATTCATTTATACCCGCACAAGCACAAATAGACCAAAAATTGAGTCATTGTGAAAAACTCCCGCGAGATTTCCCCCATGGCGAATAATCTACATCAGAGTCTACTGAGCTTATCAGATGAGGAGATGCCAAGAGTGTGAATCACTCACCTATAACATGACTCTCAATCTCCATGGGATGCGATTTGCCGGGCTTCGTGGCGGGCTGAGGAATAATTGTGATCTCATCGTTGATCTTTAGGGGCTTCAGCAGAGAATCTCCGCTGCTTGACGAGCTGCCGCTCTTCGAGTGTGATCCACCCATTGAAGACGACGAGCTGCCCTTCTTGCCGTCCATCGCCTTCTTCGCCACTGTGCTGTGGGCCGAGTATACGTGATTCTCAAACTGCTTGTACATCCCAAATGTCGCCGTGCACACGGTGCATTTGTAGGACAGATGGGCCGGCTTCAACGTCATATTGTGATCTCGTGACACGTGGTTAAGCAACTTCCACTGGTACACCTGAGTTCAGACGGCAGAGGGATTAATAAGAAACAACTGAAATGGAGAGCAGCATTTTCTGTGCACTCACCCTTCCGCAAACGGGACACCGTCCAGAGTCTTGGCCACGATTTGCAGCCTCTTGCATGGAACTTGTAACCAAACCATGAGAGCCGAGCAAGTGTCTCTCGAGGCCCTGATCCGTGAAGAATCTAAACTGGCATTTCTGACAATTCAGCGGTGGTCGATTGTAGATCATCTTTGGATGAATCTAACAGAAAGAAGAACAACTTCAGCTCACAACTCCAGACCACAAGCGACATTTCCCCCTCACTCACCTTCACTTTGTGAATCCACTGCATGTGACTCCTCAGCTGATCCAAGTCCTTAATGTATCCATCACATATTTCGCAAATGACGAACGTCGATTTGCCCCCACTCGCGCCCGGATGTTGACCCGGCTTCAGATTCTTCGCAGTGGATGCAGCCGCGGCCGCTGCCGCCGCCTGCAATGCCGCCGGCGTCATCGTCGTGCTGCCTTGGCGCGGCAAAGGCGTGATCGAAATGCTCGGCTGCTGCTGCATACTCTTCGTCTTGCTCGTCGCGGACGCCACCTGAAACCATTTCCAAGAATTATATTCACCCATCGTGACACACCACATTTTCCCTCTCACACCATCTCTCCCATCCTCTCTCTCTCTTTGCACACTCAGCCTCTCACCGCCTCTGCGGCTCCCGCCGTTTTCCCCCCCAACCAAACCCGAGAAGAAACTCAACGTCTTCTTTTCTTGCTGTGATTTTCTTCCTCTCGCTCTCTCTTTCTCTTGCGTTCTCTTTCCCCGTCTCTAACTCACTGATTTCACGGAATTTCGAGCACTGAAGTCCAACTAATACACTCGAAACATTGGTGAGATTTTCAAGGAAAAACAGTTAATATACTTTTTCGAGTATTTTTCCGTTAATTACCAATTGATTCTTTAAGCGTCCAAGGAACTAATATTTTAAAACATATTTTTCGTCAAACAATTGCATGAACACGAGATTACTACGATTAGTTCTTACATTGATTTCCCTGCAATACATTACATTTATATTTCCTTTTTCTTTCTATACATCTTTAGGGCAACTTTTCCAGTGAAAATCCCTTAACTTTTAGATTTAAAGAACTTGTGCAATTTTAAAAGGGTGAGATTTATCGTTTAGCATTGCAAAAGGAAAACTTGCTCACAATACAAATTCTCTGCAATGCCAAAGTTTCAAATCATTAAGTCTTCAAGCAGCCTTGATGGCCTCCACTTCAGTGCACATGAATATGCACTGAAGGTATGCTAAGGAGCATTTTCAGCGAAGTTGTGGGCGTAGATCTGAGTGCACCACCAATCAATATAGTACGCGTGTCTTTGAACACTGGCAAAAACATCAATCGCACATTTGAGCTTCAGACCATAATTTTCCCTGACTATTTTGTATTGTTCTTTCCATTTTTTACTTTAATGTGTTTTCTTGCATTGATTCTGTGGTCAAAATAGTAAAAATTGTCCTTATTCGCTCAAAACAATACAATAATATGTAGAAAATAATTAAAAATTATACGGATAGAATGAAGGATTTTTTGTATTTTTTTTGATATGGAAATTGAATTGGCTCCTGAAATTTTGTGAAACCCTTGCCAAAATGCCCTTTAAATCCTTCTCGTATGTCAAAACTCATTTCCGTAAGTCACAAACAAAAACTATGACGCGTTTTTCCCTATTTGCCATGCAAAATAGCTTCAAACAGACGTCACGAAAGTGAATTCCATTGCATTTTCAAGTGAATCCTTCCTATTTTATTAAATCGGGACATTTTCAAATCAGAAATCAATAAACGACAGAGACAAAGATCTTCATGATGCATTTCCCCTGATAAATAAGTCTCTCTTCGTTGGGATAATCGACCCTGTTTCACATCGCCAACGCAGAGCGAAAGCAACCGTGGGAGCGATTGAATGAAAGCCATTGTCGCCACACACTCACCTGTTGCATCATCGATGCATTCTGCGTGGATCCCATCTGATAGTTATTGGAGAGCACCATTCCAGTGGGCAGAATAGGTCTCATTGTGGTGGAATTGCCACGTAACACGGTTCCAACTGGTGTCTTATTGGTAACTGTTTGCGGTCGCCCTCGTCCTCGCATCGCACTAACGGGATTTATGCTGAGCCGCGGCATTGTAACAGCCTGGGCGCGCTGCTGCTGAGCTGCCATTTGCTGCAAGAGCGAGAGATTCAATTTAGTACAAGAAAGTCCAATTGATAGAGTCAAAAGCTGCGCATTACCTGATAAGCCGTGGCCGTTCCCACCAGTCCGTGCCTCGGCTTGATCCTGGGAATCTTCGCCGGAGGCTCCCAATCCACGGGCGGCGCTAAATTCATCTCAGGCACAAACTTCTTCGCACAGCTGAGCGCATGCCTGGCCATCTTGGACTTGCCGTTGTCCTCGAAGGGACAATTGGGGCAGACGTGGTACGGCAGTGCCTTCTCCATCTTGCACTTTATATTGTGCACCGCCTCCATGTGAAACATGATGTCGTGCATGAGGCGCGAGCTGAACTGGCAGAAGTTGCACGTAAAGAGATTGTTCTTGAAGTGAGGCTTCTCATAGTGATTGGCCATAGCAAGTGCGGATTCTGTCTTGAAATTGCAGAATTCACAACGCTTCATGTCGAACTTGAACGGCTCATTCTTCACCTTGCTAATCTCAAGATTCTTCATCAGGGAATTGATGGCCGTCTGAATTTGACCCAATCGAGCGCTGTCCTGATTGCGCTTCTTCTTCTGTAGTCGCAATAGATCCGTCTGCACGTGCTCCTGCACCAGATTAATCCCTATTGTCATGAAGAACTGTCCCAGTGGACTCTCAAAGTAGTTATCAGACGGTTTTTTGGCCGCTTCCGTCGCTGCAGCGCTCGCCTTGGCGCTCTCCGGCGTTATGATGTGCTTCTTAATGCAGTCGAGATCCTCCTTCGCCTCCTTGATCAGCACTTTGGTCCTCTCCTCGGAGTCTGACGCCTCTTCATCCGTGGAAGTGTCACTCTCATCCCACGAGTCATCAGGATTCTTCTTTCGCCTCCTCCTCGAGCTCTTCTTGGCACTCTTCTCACTCTCCACATTGGTCGCCTCCTCCTTGCCGCCAGCCTCAGCGTCTGATTCATCGCTGTGCTCACCGCCCTCCGCGTCCTCTTTCTTGCGCAGCTCCTCCAACTCCACGCCCATCTTCTGCACCACATCCTTCAGATCATCCTCCGGCGGCTTCTCGTAGATGTAGGGCACAATAAATGACGGCGCCTCCAGGACGAACATGTCATCCGTGAGCGCTGGCAGTAGCACTGGTGGCTGCATCGTCGCCTGGGGTGTCAAGTTCTTCGACATGGAGGACGTTGTCGGTGCAACTGGTGTGATAGTCGCCCTGATGTTGGGCGGATAAACACCCTGCGCCGGAACACCCACCGGCATCACAGAATACCCAGACGTTGTGCTACTCGAGGAGTTCACCACCGATGAAGCATTCTTGATGCTCTGCATCATCGAATTACCCGCCGTGCGGCTATTCAACATCGTATTTGTGTCGATAATCACCAATGTGGGCTCTTTTTGTCCCTTTGAATCCGACGACATGCGACTCACTGGCGTCACAGACAAGTCTTGAGGCAGCATCTTGGGCTTCTTCAGCATGGGACGATCAGTGAGTGGATCCTCCAGAATCTCCTCAACATCATCATCGTCATAAGTTGAGTAGTCTCGCACCTTGACCATGGATTTCCTCTGTCTTCCACTCCTCCTCATATCCTTGCTGTCCTCAATCACCACACAATCCTCCTTGTCGCTCAGAATCTCATGCACTTCCGTGCCATTCCTGTCTTTCTCACAGTCAGTCAGATCAGTGGCCACAACATCGCTGTCTGAATCTGAATGGATAATTACGGCATCATCATCTGTGCCGTGACCATTGATCTTCTCACTGTCGTCAGCACTCTTCGCAGCATCCTCGGAGGGATTCGCCGGTCCTGTGGACTCTCCACCGCCAAGTGGATCCTCATCGTGCGTCTGTGAGTCCACAGTGCTCTCGTCATTGTCCTCATCGGCCGTCGTCACCTCCTCAATATTCTGCTCCTTCAGCGACGTCGTCACCGACTCATCCTGCGACTGCGAGTCCACATCCATAGCTTCATCCTCATCACATCCACCATTTATGTCACCATTCATCTTCTCTGTGGCATTTTCACTCGAATTAGCACTCACTTCACCCATTGTCCTAATATTCTTATCCTGCAGACCTTTTCTCAAAGTCTCTCTTTCTCTCTCTCTCTCTCTGTCTTCACTTTCACGTGAACTCTGCCGATCGGTGACTTTCTCAGTCTCCCCTGCAAATGAGTAAAGACAACTTTAATTAGTTTATATATGCCAACACAGCCCCACTTCCTTTCCCCATTTCCAACACCCCATCCCATTCCAGAGAAATCGATCTCCACACCCGCGCGAGGGAAGACGTGTAGCAATCAATGCCTTTGGTTTTTTGGCTCATTTTGTGCACACACACGCGCGCAGCGTGTCAGGGCCCAAAAGCGGCGCGCCGGAAAGGGGCACAGGGGACGAGGAAGAGCCAAGAGACGCGCGAGGAGAGGCACCAACACCAGGGAGAATCCAAACTCTCTAGATTCTCTACCACACTCACGCGGAGGTGCATGAGAAAAACACTGGCGTGCGAGCGAGAGGAGGAGTGTGGAAATGTTAAAACGGCCATGATGGAAGTCGTGGTGCGGCCCCATTTCCTAAACCCAAGGTTGATACCTTTCTTCAGAATCTTCCCATGGCTCTCTGCCACATGATTTCTCCAGCGGAATACCCAAGAGATTACTGAAATATTCTGCTCTCAATCCGTTGATTTTGAACCATTTAAATCGCTTTGTTTACCTTTTTAAGCGCCACACACAAAAACATTGCCATGCAAATCAGAGGTTATGTCGGTGGAGAGAAACAACATTCATGTTATTCTTTCAGCTCAACTCCGCAGGAAAATCCAGTATTTCCCCCGAGTATCTCAGCGATCAGGATGCTAAGCAGTCAGCTGATGAAATGAACATGTCAATTCCCATGAAAATCCCACCCACACACCTCTCCCCCTCTTGGGATTCTCCGCAACCCCGTCCGCCAACCCCCGGGAAACCCAGAGCCAGAGAGTGTTAATTCACCGACGCCATCTTGACGATTAGATGCACGAGAGTCGGGGCCCCATTGCGGAGCGGACACAGCTGCCACCAGTGTACCTCTCGCTCGCACCCGTGGTCTCGCTCCCTCCTTCGCGGCTCTGAGACACGGAGGAATTCTATGTTGGCACACATAAAATCTCACTCTCTCAATGCCTCTCACTCGCTCCCACAATCTCTGTGCAGCCCCTCTCACTCACTCCCCTGTTCCATATCCCATGGGGATCTCGCACACACACGCGCGCACGCCAGCGGAGTCTCCGAGGCGCCCCCACAGAGAGAAAAGCCAATGAAAAAGCCACACGGACTCTTCCCATCCATCAGGTGGACTTTGGAGCCTCCGAATCACGTTCTCGAGCACAATTGACGGGTGTTGAAGAGTATTGAAGGCACTCCACACCGCCTGTGTCGTGTAAGAAAAACCCCTTTTGGAGCCCCACAAATTCTAACCGCAACTTTCACACATATTCTCTCTGTCTCACCCAGTTTGTTTATCTCAGATTCACCAGGTCAGCCTCAGGCTCCACCATAGTTCACAGACACAATCCTTGGACCGCTGCTCCTCCTGATAGATCACTCAGGACGTGTGCACGAACCCCTCGCCGCCCGAAAACTGAAAATGGCGTCAAGCGGTCACGTGACCAGCAGTGACGTACTCCGGAGCACATCCGCCAGGAGCCTCCACACGCCACGCATCTGGCTGAGCTTTGGCCTCGGCAGAGCTGCAGTAGAGGACAGAGAACGCGAATACTTGACGGGGACAATTTTCGCGGCCGCGAGTTTGGAAAATTCAGGGAAAATAGCCCGCAAGCATGAGCAGTGCGCGCCCTCCTGAGTCCAACACTGCGCCTATACCGCTTGCCTCGGCACCGCACGTCCCCGCCCGTCCCTCACACCTAAGCGCCGTCGTCAGCCCAGCACAGAACCGCATCGGCCGGGCGTGTGGCTGAGACCCCGTCGCCACGGCGGCAGATCACCTCCTGAATTCGTCCATTTTTACAAATAGCGCGCTCTCCGCTCAACCGTCCGCCAGCGGCTTCCCCTCCGATTGACAATGGTTCGGCCCAAGTTTCATTTTGCCTATGTGGCCACTCCGCACGCCTCTCCGCCTCCCGCTGCAGCCCCACAAGCTCGCCGCGACTTCACCACGGCGACACCAAAGAGCGCAGCACCCCCTCGGGAAACCCCCGAACATCCCCCATACGGTGGCCCCGCGCGTGATTCGCGCTCCCGGATTGCCCAGCGCATGAGACTCTTCTTTGTCTCTGAGCGAGCACAATGGCCTCATTCCTGCGAGGCCCTGCGAGCTTTCCCATCAACCCACTTTGTCAGAGCCTCTTCGGTGTAGTCAACAATTTACGACTCTTCCCATCTCGCTCTGGCCCTCCCGTTCTCCGAGAAGGTAGTCCGAAGAAATCCACTCTGCGTAGTGGTGGGCCAGTATATAGGGAAATATATACAGCACACACACACACACACCCACCCAGCCCGAGTACCCGTCTCGGAGCCGTGATGATGAAAAGCCCACTTCGCTATGTATACATAAGGCTTGGATGCGGCGCCTTCGTGTTGGTGATTTGGCGTTATGTAATCGCGAAAGGAGTACATAGAGGGAAAATGGTGTAACCTTCCAATGATTCACCTTCCATCATCTTCCCGGAAAGCTTCGCACCGCCCTCAACCCACTGAATCACTTTTTTGGCCAACATCGGTGCATTGAGATCTCTATGAGCGGACGCCTGGTGGATTGGAAAGAAGTCTCTGACGAGCGTCTTCCCATCTCGAAAAGTCGATCTTGAAATTTAACTATCAATCCACACCAAACTACCTAACAAAATCCACTATCAGAACACATCTACTCCTTCTGGAAGCGCCCCAAACAGCAACATCTTCTCTAGGGGTAGCTTTTCTCCCTATACAAACACATATCCAACCAACAAGTTTCCAAAGCTCTTACCTAAACGCTCTCTTCGTCTTCCTCCTCTTCGTTGAACGACAACTTTGGCTTCTCTGCCTTTTTCTTGTCTCCCTTCGAATGCTCGGAATCCTTATCCTTGCCGGATGTTGAGCTTTTACTTTTGCTTCCCTTGAAGATGATCCTCTGTGACAAATCCGCTGGTTTCTCAGCCTCCTCTGTAAATACACATGGGCAAAATAGTAAATATCTCGTACCCAAATAAAAGCTAACAGTATGAAATATGAATGAGAAATAATATGAAAAACCAGCGTGGAAAAGTCAACGAACCTTTCAGGAGCTTTTGCTGTTCACGCTCAGCTTCGTCAGCCGTTAAATCGCCCGGCTTCAGTACAACAACTTGTGGTTTCTCCTCGTTGACCTCTGAGTCGGAATCTGACTCCTCAAAGTGCTCCAAACGTTGTCTCTGCAACCAGAAAAACCATTGTGCAAACCGAAGGATTCCCAGGAGCCGGAAAAGAAAAATCCTACCTTGGTTTCAACGGTGGGACCCTCGCGATAGCCAATACTCTCCTTAATTCTCTTCAAAAAACTGGGATCTTCAGGCTTGTTGAACACTATATTGCGTTTAGACATTGCACGGGGGCACCGAAGAGGGTCTCAGAACATTTCAGCGGCAGACAATTCCACCCACTTTGAGGTTATTTCACAATATTGCATAAATCTCAGCAGCGCTTGCGATATCTCTCAATATTACTCTGGAAAGCTGAATAAAAGACCCCAAATCACACTTTTAGGGACAATGCCACCGGAAAATCCCGATATATCCTCGTAAAATTGAAGAAAAACAAAGCGAAAGATCGCAATCGCACATACACTGATTGATGACTGACATTTCGACATGCGCGCGCGCATGAACGCATCCCATCGACTGGGGTTGCTATAATTTCATCGATTTGCTTTTCCTGCAGAGAAAAAGAAGCGGGAAACTTCCATGGTTGCTGTTATCGGAAAGCATTCGTGCAAATCTCTTCAGTTCGTGCGGGAAGTTTAACCGTGGACGACAGAAACTCAGCCAATAAAAAGAACGTGGAGAAAAAGTCTCTTCAATTGTTTTTTAGTCGATTATTTAATGATCTAATAAATTTCTGAACATTTTTTTTTATAAACATAATAACTAATTTTACAATTTGTGTTTGGTATTTCGTTTGTTAAAAAGAGGTTGGCTGTTTGTATAATAATTAATGAGGGGATGCACATAAATAATTGAAAGACTGATGCTGATTCTATGATAACCACGATAACATAATTGAAAATTTTGATTTTTAAGTTACTACAATTGTAATTGCATAATTGCAGATCTCTCTATATTTAACATATTGATTTTCCTCTTTACAATCCTTGATAACTTGAGTATTTCATTTTCACGTCCAACAAACACACAGACACTGTGAGAAAAACTGAGCAGCTAATTTCCAAAACGAGAGGTTTTGAGACAAAATGATAGTCGATAAGCCAATTTAAATGCAATGGTGTTTTCTGCGAGTGCAGTCCTGGTGGAACACTTGTTGGCACTTTTTTCCCGTCTCAGGCTGCGTCCTATTTGAGTATTCTCCGATTGCAGCTGGTCCGTCTTCTCTGTGTCACCAGCTAGGGTGTGTCGCATCAAATGGGGTATAATTTTGTCTTTTTTCCTCTCAATACGCTCGATTTTGATTTGATATTCCTACATATTTCTTCTACATCTTTGGCATGGCTTTAAATTTTTTTTCCATATTTTAAATTTTGCAAGAAATTGTAAAATCGAAATTTGAGCAATAAAAATTAAAGCGTGAGGTTTTTTTTGGGGGGCGGGAGAAAAAGAAAAAACAAAGGTTTGTATGAGTGAATTGACTAAACTTAGACTAAATACGCAACGATAGGATGAAGGAATAGTGGTGAAATATGGATGAGAAACACTGAAGAAATAGTAAGAGATTATGTGGCTAATTCTCGAAAACCGTTTTGCAAGATGCATTTTAAATTAAATTCTTCAACAATAAAAATATAAAACCCTGGAAGAATGGTAATGCATGATATGTGCTGCCCTATAAGTGCATGTTGGACAGGATCACGAATCTTGGGCATGAGTGCAGTTTAGCGTCCTCGGATTTCAACCATTAACTTAGGATATAATTCATTTATGATGTCACGAGTTCTCCGCCAATCAGGTCGATTGGGAATCTACCTGTTTCCCGATAACTTTGAACGCTTAGAACACAAAGTTAGTAAAGTTTAGAGAATATATATTTAAGTGGTTAGTACTAGTGTAAAGTATTGGACGGTTTCTCTCACAATATCTTCATGACAGGGTATTATACTTTTATTTGAAGTACGTAATATTGCAAGCCTTAAGTTAAATTTTACAGACTTTCGAGAATCTATGCCGCAATTTGAGAAACAGTTCAATGCACAAGCAAGGACTTATACCTGGTATCGCTGAAAGCAGCAGCGGCCACAGCAAGACTGGAGCAATCCTGCTGTGCTGTTGGTGGAATGCGCTGGACTGGCCATTGGCGACGGTGAGCCTGCTCTCTTGGGTGCACCGTTGTAGGAATTCTCCAGCTCTACGAATTCTCTATCCTGGAAGGATTTATTGCTTGTTCATAGTTCGATATCAAGGATTTTACAGCAAACTTACTGTGGTCTTCTCAAGACAGCGCAGAAGATGATGGTGCTGCATCTCAAACATGTCTTCTTCACGCATATTGTCATCCAGCTCAATGCCGCTTTCTTGTGCTGCCAAGCGCGCTTCGGCAGCTTTCTTCTTACTTACGAACGCTGCTCCTGAAGAAGCCTTGGCAATCCTAATACGCGCCAGACGTGCTTTCTGTAAAATGTTTTACAGACGGATAAGTGCAATTTGTTTAGACAAATATGTGAATTCCCATTCTGCCGTTCGTAGTGCATATGAGATTCCAGAAAACTAATAATAGAACTAACAATAGATAGAAAATAAACAGAGAGAGAAAGTAAATGCATACAACTAGAAAGTGTTCGTCACAAGAAATAATAATATAGAAGAATGAAAAGATTATACTGGAAAGTGCTGAAGGAAAAAGAATGAAAAATCCCAAATAGACTCGTAAACTTAACTTTTGAACTTCTTGAACTGCATTATTAATTCAAAATTTAACCCAAAATTACTTATAGGAAACCGATAATAGAAAAATATATTATTTTAACGAATGAAGCAAGAAATCCATGAAGAGTTGCCAAAAATATACCTCAACCACTGCAAATCAACGGATGAATGTAAAATTTCTTTATTACCAAACTGCAAATATCCAATTTTACTTGCTTCTGTGCAAAACTGGATAATGCAAGGTAGAGAAAGAAGAGTCTGTTTGGAATGTAAGTATCTTGGGTATCTATTGTGGTGCAAGTTATTCGAGGTGGAAAGAGTTCACATAAATGGCGTACCCTCTGGGCCTTCCTCTTATCGGCGCGCTGATTTTGATGGTAGATACGCGAGAAGTTAGACACAATAACGGGCACGGGTAGCGCGATCACGAGGACACCACTGAGCGAGCAAACGCCACCGACGATCTTTCCGGCAATCGTCTCGGGCACCATGTCTCCATATCCAAGTGTAGTCATCGTGACGATGGTATACCAGAAGGCGGCAGGGATGGATGTGAAGTTAGTTCCATCGACATTTTTCTCAGCGTAGAACATCACCGTAGCGAAAATAATGATGGCCATGGCGAGTGAGAAAACGAGAAAACCAAGTTCACTGGCGCAGGACTTGAGTGTATAGCCCAGGATACGTAAACCCTGGGAGTGGCGGGAGAATTTGAAGATACGAAACACCCGGAAGACGCGCAGGGTTACAAATGCACCAGATACATCGTCATTGTCCGTGATGCCGAGTCCAATGTAGTATGGTAGAATGGCTACCACGTCGATGATACTCATTACACTGCGTACAAACTTGCAGCGATCGGGCGCCGCAAAGAGACGCAACAAGTACTCAGCTGTGAAGATCATCACACAGGCCGTATCTAGGCAAAAGAAAACAATTTTGTAGCGTTCACCGCATGGTAGTGTGCCAGCATGTCCTGGGCGCCGACCGCACGGCACCGTTTCCACTACGTTCGCCATCACGGACACGGCAATGAAGAATCCGGTGACATAATAAAACACCAGCGCGGCCGTCGAAGTGTGCGGATTTTCAAAAGCTCGCCACATTTTCTGACGAATGTTTGTCAGTTGCTGAAGATTGTGGTCGCCATTCTCAGAAAGCTTATCGTCCATCAATCGTTCCGCATTTTCGCGCTTTCGATCACGGTAGTCTTCATAGCAGCAGTCACCAATAACGTCGGGCAGGATTCCAAAGAAGGCTAGCTCCTCGTCATAGCTCGTGAGACACTCGTGCTTTGGGTAATGCAGCTTTCCCGTACGATAGTAATTAAGTATATGACGAAAAATGTCTGGATCCCGATCAAAAAAGTACTCTCCGCTCTCTTCGTCATAGAAGAACTCTCGTTCATTTGAGCCTGAAAAGAGAAGTGACTACCAAGGTGATCACCAATGTATTGGAGGGAGAGAAAGTGAGTATAAAATAATCTAGTATAATCATAAATACGAATTTTCATAACATCCAGCTCAAAAATCTTATATCGTGACGGATAGCGTTATATCATTTTATAAGCGAAAACTTAATAATCTCTCTGTGTTTAATTAATTCAATCGACACCATCTGCATTGTCCAAAAATTTTGATGCAAGTTCTCAGGCTAGTTCACGTATTGGCGCATATCACTGCCATAATTGATTTTTGAAAAACAGTATGAAATCTCGCTTGCAAATTTTTCAGTGATTTTTGCAAAAATTTAGGAGTCACCTTATTCTGTAGACTCTACTTCTTTTAACAAATTGAATAACCCTAAAGGATTTGTTTCCTCTAAATTTTATGTGAAGACTGCAAATCTTTTATCTTGAAGAAAATAACCACTGAAAGGCATCTTTGAAAGCTTTTCAAATCCGCCACCCCAAATCGATGGCAGCGCCGTGCATCATTCAATCGAGGCCAAGACTGAGGCCACTGAGGCATTTGAATGAAAATTTTGGACAATGCTTCCGGATTGGGGTTTACCTAACAGAGTGTCAGGATATTTCTCGAGTGTGTTGCGCCAAGTCTCAAAGCGACGGCCAGAGACATTGATAATGAGCTTCTCGTCGTCTGACTTGCGGCGGTCCTTGGGAATTGGTGGCGGGGGCAAAGGGTGGGTTGCAATTGGAACCCACCCAATGGCCGCCGCCCTGGCGAAGGGTAGCCAAGCGGCGACCGAGGCCATACTGTGCGGTGCAATTTTCTTTTCTTATCGACGCCTACACATGCAACACAACCACTGGTGTCACTCTCTAATCACTGCAATCTTTACAGCTTCACGGAACGACGGACTTCATGGTACAACTCTAATTGGATTTTTCAAGCACCGCACATGCGCTCCGGAACTATTTGGCGCGCACATGCGCTCCTGAACTACCAGACGCCATCTATGGGTAATTTATGGTGTACATTTTATGCGCAAGCGCGTTTCAAGACTGTTTTCGTTTGGCGCCTTTTCCTGCAGAAGGCATTTCAAAATACAATGAGAGATAATTATAAATTGTCTGCCAACAATTAAAGTTCTAAAAACATATCTAACAGAACACTGAAGAGTCAGAAAACTCACTTTTTCTCAACTTTCCTCACATTATCATCCCTTCTTGTACAGGAATCAGATCCACAAATTGGATGAGACACGTTGGTTGGCACACGTTGTATGCATAGACTGCGGCTAGAAGCTGCATGCGGTGCGCATATACGCAACTCATCGAGTAGGGTTGCTATAATTTCATCGATTATCATTACTGCAGAAAAATAAAGTCTAGTCGGCTTTCTTGATTGGTTTTCGCTAAATATCCCTGTAATTCACTTCAGCCGGCATTCCTCGTGTTGTTGGGAAGTGAAGAATGGCTACTGACATCAAGTCTTTCTTGCACCAATGGTGCTCCAAGGAGAAATTGCTGAACCCCACCTATGATATCCGGCCGACAGGTATAACTTCATTTTTACCCTTTATGCTTGGGAAAAACACTCAAACATTGCTTTATTCCAGGTCCGAAACATCGCCAGAGGTTCCTATGTGAGATCCGCGTTCAGGGCATACCTTATGTGGGCGCCGGAAACTCAACCAACAAGAAGGATGCGGAGAAGAATGCCTCTCGTGATTTCGTCAACTACTTGATTCGGTTGGGGAGGATTTCTGGGACAGATGTGCCTACTGAAGCTATGGACGGCGACGCTATCCCTCGAGCCGATCCGGGAGTGATGGGTGGGAACAAGTTAGCGCAAGCCAATGTTTTCCAAGGCGGAATGGGTCCGTCTGACTTGGGCCAAGCCTATAGACCTATTCATCAGGAAGACGAGCGTCATTATGGGCCGACATCGTATCTGGATCGCGCTGAGCAGCAGCTGAAGATGGAGGAGGCGGAATCTCTGGACGTAAATGCCGCCATTCACGGCAATTGGACAATTGAGAATGCCAAATCGAAGCTGAGTCAGTTCCTGCAGATGCACAAGCTTCAGGGAAACTACAAGTACACTCCGGTTGGGCCTGATCACTCCAGGTTTGTAGACCTTCTATTCTGTCTCTCAGTGGCTTCTGCTACAGTCTTCCGGCAACTCGAGATATCTGGAAAGTGGGAAAGTGCAATTGGGAGTATCTGTGGCATGCAAACAGTTTATGCATGGTTGTATGTTCAGGGAATGGCGCAGAGAACATTCCCTGTACAGACATAAGAGAGAAGGAGATGCCACATGTAACTCCTGCTATTGATTGCCTTTCAATATCTGAGAGAGTGAATAGAACTGCCGAAAGACTGTGCCAGGATCTGCTGCAATCTGTGGTGAGTTGAATGACTTTAATGTGTATGAATGCATATTGATAATGATAACATGCAATGATTGTAGGAGTTTCATGGCGGAATTGACGATTTACGTGAAGCAACTGGGACGGTCGATTACTGGACGGGAGACTGGATCCAATAAGCAGTCGGCGAGCAAATCCTGCGCTCTATCGCTAGTTCGACAACTCTTCCATCTGGGAGTCATTGAGGCGTTTACTGGAAGCCTCAAGACTGTTAAGTGAGTATTTGTGTGGCCTTTTTTCAGCCAATTAACTAATAAATGTGACCGAAATTGTAGGAACGATGATCAGATGAAACCCTATCCGGTGTGTATCAGTCAGGAATTGGAGGAGAAGATTTCATCGTGTCTCCATGGACTCAATATTCAGCCTGTGAATCCTAATGCTATGCCACGTGTGAAGCTGGAAGATGGCACTAATCAGCCTGTCAGTCTGCTGATCCCTTCCAATGAACCGCGAGTGGATCGCATGAATTTGCCACCTCAGCCGGGCTCTGTGATCTCTTGGTCACCACCGCAACCCAACTGGAATCCTTGGCTGGCGTGTAACATCGACGAAGGCTATCTGGCCACGGCGAGTCTTGACCAATTGAGTGATGATCTATCTAACAGTGACCGCGATCGTCGGATGAATGACACGCAGCTCCAACAGATGATGATGCAGCGAGAGAAGCTCCCAATCTCGGCCATGAGGAATGAGATCATGGCGGCTATCAACGAGAATCCCGTGGTGATTATTCGTGGGAACACAGGATGTGGCAAGACGACACAAATCGCTCAGTTCATCCTGGAGGATTATGTGAAATCTGGTCAGGGTGCGTGGTGCAACGTGTGCGTGACTCAACCGCGCAGAATTAGTGCGATAAGCGTGTCAGAGCGCATTGCCAATGAGAGGAATGAGAATCTGGGTGAATCCGTGGGATACTCAGTGAGATTTGAGTCGATTATTCCACGACCGTACGGATCGATTCTCTTTTGCACAATAGGGGTGCTGCTGAGGAAGCTCGAGGCGGGCCTCAGAGGAGTGTCTCACGTGATTGTGGATGAGATACACGAGAGAGATGTGAACAGTGACTTCCTCATGGTGGTGCTGCGTGACATGGTGCACACATACCCAGATTTGAGGGTGATTCTCATGTCGGCGACAATAGACACCACACTTTTCTCCGAGTACTACGGACGATGTCCTGTAATTGAGGTTCCGGGCAGGGCGTATCCCGTGGAGCAATACTTCCTGGAAGACTGCATTGAAATGACTAACTTTAAGCCCTCGCCGGACAGTCGGAAGCGGCGCAAGGACGACGACGGGGATGACGCGCCGGCGAGCGAGGAGGCGGAGAAGAACTTGAATGCGGATGTGGAATCGCAATACTCGCCGAACACGAAGAGTGTCATGGCTCAGATGTCCGAATCTGAGGTGAGCTTTGAATTGGTGGAGGCGATTTTGATGCACGTGAATAAGATTGGCGTTCCTGGAGCTGTGCTGATCTTTCTGCCGGGATGGAATTTGATATTTGCTCTGATGAAGTTCCTGCAGAGCACTCAGGAGTTTGGCACGCCACGATATCGCATCCTGCCATGTCACTCGCAAATCCCGCGCGAGGATCAGCGGAAGGTGTTTGAGCCAGTGCCTGAGGGCGTGCGGAAGATCATTCTGTCGACAAATATTGCCGAGACCAGCATCACTATTGATGACATCGTGTATGTCGTGGACATTTGCAAGGCGCGGATGAAACTCTTCACATCCCACAATAATCTTATCAGTTATGCGACTGTGTGGGCGAGCAGGACGAATCTGGAGCAGAGGAAAGGCCGCGCAGGACGCGTTCGCCCAGGAATGTGCTTCACGCTCTGCTCCAAGGCGCGCTTTAAGAATCTGGAGGAACATCTCACGCCCGAGATGTTCAGAACGCCACTGCATGAATTGGCGTTGAGTATTAAATTGCTACGTTTGGGATCAATTGGGCAGTTCCTGTCCAAGGCCATTGAACCTCCGCCTTTGGATGCTGTAATCGAAGCTGAGGTGCTGCTCAGAGAGATGAAGTGTCTCGATGTGGAAGACAATTTGACACCGCTGGGAAGAATTCTGGCCAAGTTGCCGATTGAGCCTCGCCTGGGGAAGATGATGATTCTGGGATGTGTGTTTCTCGTCGGAGAGCCTCTGTCGGCCATGGCGGCATTCTCCAGCACCTTCTCGGAAGTGTTCTCCCTGGAGATGGGCCACAGGCGCCTCAGCAATCACCAACGAGCTCTGGGCGGCATTAAGCATTCTGACCACGTCGCCATGTTGGTAGCGTCGCAGATGTGGAACGGCGCTCGGGTGAAGGGCGAGGAGGCGGAGAAGAACTTCTGCGAGTGGAAAGGACTGCAGCAGCCTACGATGCGCGTGATGCACGAGGCGAAGAGGCAGTTGATGGATTTGCTGCAACAGACGGGATTTCCCGAGGAGTGCATTCTGGATTATCGCGTGAATGCTAATGTTCCAGATCCCACACTCGATGTGGCCACTGGACTGCTCTGCGTGGGCTTATATCCCAATGTGTGCTTTCACAAGGAGAAGAGGAAGGTCCTGACCACAGAAAGCAAGGCGGCACTCATTCACAAGACATCTGTGAACTGCACGAATCTTCAGTGCACTTTCCCATATCCGTTCTTCGTGTTTGGAGAGAAGATCCGGACCAAGGCTGTTTCCTGCAAGCAGATGACAATGGTGTCGCCCATTCACATTCTCCTCTTTGCCTCTCGCAAGATTGACTTGGTGGACGAGAAAACTGTTAGGATTGACAACTGGCTGAACTTTGAGATGAGCCCGCGCCAGGCGAGTCTGATTTGTGCCCTGCGTCCTGTTGTTGAAAGTCTCGTGGTGAGGGCTTCTGAGTGCCCAGACGATGTGCTGCAGCAGGAAGAGGCTTACGGGGATGCCATAGCAGTGATAAAGGATCTCTGCGTCATGGAGGCTGGAGATCATGGCATTGAGCGCGACAAAGGAATTTTGCCGCAAGGATTTGGACCTCGTCAGAGGGATGGAGACGGCGGACCGCCCAACAAATTCTTCCGGGGCAGCGGAGGTGGGGGTTACATGGGCGGCCGGGGAAGCGGAGGAGGCTATGGTGGATATGGTGGATACGGTGGCTTCCGGCGAGGCTTTGGAGGGTATCGTGGTGGATTCCGAGGAGGATTCCGTGGCGGCCGTTAAGCTATAACATTCAAACAGTGTTAGGTTGCGTATATCTCAACGACGGTTTTCAAAGAGCGCTTGACAGCGGAAGCCGGAAAACAGTTGGGAATCCGCTAATTCTTGCAAAAACTCTTCACCCGGAAAGACTTTTCATTATAATCTGTGTTGTGTGTGCTGTATCTTGTGTTAAGTAATAAAGCTGAGATGAAGGATGAACACTTCATCACTGGGAAGCATTGATTTCTCTGCAATTCTGGAGGAGGAGTTCCGCGCCCGGTCGGATGAGATGGACGTGAGTGTGCTGGCTGGGGATATCGTGACAAACGCCCTGCACATCCCTCGGAGTCTCTTTTGCCCTTATTGCGCCGATGAGTACATGTTTGAGTTCACACTGAAGGATCACCTCAAGCGACAACACTATGAGGAACTCGAGGAACAGGCTGAGCGCCAGAGGAGGCAGGATGTGAGTCTGGTGGCATCACATGCGTGCCCTATCTGCGGGGCGCTCTTCTTCTACTTTGGCCTGGTGCCGAAACACATCCACCAGCGGCATGGACGTGCATTCCTGCGGCAGTGGCAGGAAGAGAATGCAGAGAATCTGGCCAGGAGGCAAGAGAGGGAACCCAGTATTGTCTACGCCTCGTGTTCACCTGGTCTGAGTGAGATCTTCGACGGCCTGACAACCAATGAGAAGGTGAAACCCGCTCCTGAGCCCTCAGTTGTGACGCCCAACAAGAGCATCCTCAAGAAGACACCCATAAAAGGTGGAAAGATCATCATGTCTCCCTCTTCAGTGTCTATCAGGCGCACGAAGAGCGACTACGTGAAGAGATGCACTCCTGTGCGTCGAGAGCTACGCTTTGACCTGCCGCCACTGAAGAAATCCCCAGAGCAACTGGAGAAGCTTCCTCCGATTCCACGAGACGACTCGCGATCCTCTTGGCGGCTGAAATTCGGCTGGCGCAAGGTGAAGCCTCAGTCACCCCCGAAGAAAGCCACAGTTCTCACCAGCACGCCAATCAACACCCTCGGTGACTCTCCTGACGTGCCCTCGTTCTTCACCCTGGAGCGCTTCCAGTGCGCGCGCTGCAGAAAGACTTGGGACAACAACGCAGAGCTTCTGCAGCATCTCAAGGGGCATCACTGGAGCGCCAGGCACTTCATGAGGCCCCACTACAGGTGCGCCCAGTGCGGGGCGACGTTCTTCCGGAACAGCTATCTGGTGCGCCACTGCCACTTCCACCATACGCCCCAGAAGCACCGCCAGGTCATCAGGAACTGAAGTGTGAGTGACTATTTGAATTGCAATTCTAGCGGCTCTTAAGCAATTATTTTGGGTGGAACTGAATTTAAATGGTCAGGAATGAAGTCAAGAGTGAAGTTTGTAATTAGATAATTAGTGAATTTTCTTCACTTATACTTTTCTTTGTTTTCGCTAATATTTTTGTATGTTTCTAAATTCCCATCGAAGCGTCGGAGCTTTAGTAGAAATCACAATTTTATTTAATTCTTTTTAGGGACCACCAAATTATCACGCAGCAGAACTTTATCCAGTATTCACACTTCAAATTTCGCACCTCCGAGTAGGAAAACCGTGATTGTTTCCTAAAGACATTTAATTATGTAATAAATTGCGCTTACACCTTTAACTACTATAGGCAAATTATCTAGAAAAAAAACACTGCGGGCGAGAGTGCAGGAATGCTCGAGTCTTGACTAGATCCTCAGCACTAGAGCCTCGTGATCTCGGCCACCGTGGCGGGATCGTGGGCTCGTGGCGGGAGGCTGGAATAGTAGCCGGCAGGAACGCCCGGTTTGCTCTGGACTGTGGCCGTCTTGGGCACCGCGGCGCCCTCGAGGCACTCGCACATAGGCGGCCCCACGAGGCTGATGGTGGTGGTTGTGGTGGTGGTTTGCTGCACGAACTGGGACGGCGGCGGCGCGTAGTTCTCCACGTCGGAGAACGCTGTGTACCGCTCGTAAGCGGGCGTCATCTTGCGCGGCATCGAGTGCCTCTGGGGCGCTTGGTGCGCCACGGCCTTGGGCGCCACGGTGTCCAGGTAGCCATAGCCGAAGGCATACCCGCCGATCGCCTTCGTTGTGAGATTGTCCCAGGACTTGGGCTTGTGCACGGCGTATCCATAGCTCGATACTGGCTGGATTTGCGCGGCATGGGGATAGAAGCGCGTCGGGAAGCCCTGGGCAGCGGGTGGTGGGACGTAGTAGGACACACTGGTGCGTGCTCGTGGATTGGCGGAGGATTTGACGGAATGCGTGCGTGAAGTGTCACTGTGCGGATCCCAGAGGGTGTCCGTGCTCAGTGATGTCGTGTACGACATCACAGATTCCTCGACGGTTGTTGCCGCGAATTCGCTGGACGTGCAGGAGTGCAGGCTGCAGTGACTGGCCAGCCCGGCGCTGAGATCGTAGTATCTGGCGAGGAGGGATCAGTTGTTAGACATCGCGGAGAGTTCTCGGTTTGGACTTACCTGGGTTGATGATTGGCGAACTGTGGCGGCGGCGCCGGTGGCTGAGACACCTGGACAGCACGATGGCGCTCCTTGGACTCTTTGCTACGATGCTTATGCTTGTGCTGATGATGATCTTTGCTGTGGTGGCGAGATCTGCGCCTCGCGGGCACGCACTGGGCCTCACAACAGGGACTGGCCAGGTCGTATGCATCCAGGCTCACGTTGTCCCCATTGTTGGTTTTGCTCTTGCCAAAGTGGCATGGATTGCAGGAGTGCCCGTGACAGTGTCGGCCCGATTTGGACTTGTGCTGCTCCTGCGCTTGAGTGCGCTTCGGCGTCTTGTCCTCGGGCAGGGAAGAAGCTGTGGTGTTGTCCGACGAGGGCACTCGTCGCAAGTACTGCTGGCTCTTGCAGCGCTGCTGGTGCTGTGGCGGCGGTCCTGCCGGTGCGATGCTGATGAGATACTCTCCGCTGCCTGTGGAGGCTGAGGGTCGCAAGATGTAGCGACAGTGGGGATCGAGGTAGCGATAGGCGAGCATCATTTGTGTGGGCGGTGGCGCCATACACTGACTCTTCTGCTGCTGCTGTTGCTTCGCCAGAGCGCCCACGTCCTCAGTGGAGATGGGACGATTTCCCAGAGCGTCCGCCACATCTGCAGTGGCCTCCTCTCCCTTCGCCGGCGTCTTCTTGCGCGCCGGTAAGCTGTGCGTCTTCCACTTCCCTTCGAGGAGTTCCCTCTCGCGCAGACACACGCGCTCCAGTTCACTCATCTTGGCCTGCAGCACGTTCTGGAGCTGTAAGTAGCGCATGTGGAGCTCCACTTTGCGCACGCAGTCCTCGAACAGCACCACCATTCGCATCCGCGTGTCGCACTCCTTGATGAATGTCACGAGAGTCTTGTGATCAGCCTTCTCCATGTCCGTGCCGTTGATCGAGAGGATCACGTCGCCCTCACGCATGCCCGCTCGATAGGCTGGACCATCGTACTCCACATAGTCCACGTATGTGATCATTTCCACCTGCAAATGCAGAAAGCCATCATAAATGCCCTCCTTTCCTCTACACTCATCAACATCTTGCTCAGAAATAAATCATATTAGCATCTCTAAACGGTTTAACGCGAAAAGACGTGCTCTTCATGGATTCAATTACATTTGAAGCAATTATTCGCATGAGACAAACAAGTCAATTTTTTTTATTTCGAAGGAAAACACAGGGTGAAATGTGGGGAATTTCACCATGTCATTTTCACGTTATTCAATTTGTGGAGCTTTTAAGCCGCTCTCATGCTTTCAGAGCAATTTTCCGGGCGGTGAACAAAAGAGCGACGGAGGCTGTAAAGTGGGAATTTTGAAGTTTGATGCTTGAGTGGCGGTTAATAGTTTGGAAAAGGTACTCTTGATAGTCCTCGAGCGACGCTCAATTGAATCAATTTGTCCTCACCTCCTGCTCCTTCTTGTAGTGGATTCCGTAGCTCTGAATGGTGAAGCCGTAGGAGCCATTCTTCTTCTCCACGATGATTGTGCGACGTCTCCGATCCTCCTCTGGCCGTGTCATCGTCACTCTGTCCGTCTTAATGCGCCGAAGAACCTGCGAGTGCTGCAACGAAACGTCCAATTGATTCTCACACCCACTCTTCAGGAATGCAAATGGAAGTGAAATTGTGCGACTCTTTGATTGTCCATTTCCGGAACAGCGCGCGATGATACTGCGTGTGGAATTCCTATTGTTCGCTCCCTCGCCCCACCAAATTGCCCGTGTCCAGACGTCAATTTCAGTCAGGACCGCATTTATTGTGCCATTGTTCCACCTTTCAGACACCCAAGAGCCATTTAGACGTGGAAATGTGAATTTCTAATGCGCAGCGTGACTGTATTGTTGATCTCTCGCCGCCCAAAATTCTCGGTTGTTTATATCAATTACCAACAGAATTATCGGGTCTGTGGTTCTTCAGAACGCCACACTTTTTGCACGTCCCTGAGAAGCGTCAATAGGGTAATTGTGCCTCTCACAGTTAATCTCTGAAACAACGGCTTGGCTAGTAAGCTTAATTGATATCGAGAGAGATTTGTTTTCTGTTATGAAAAGACGGATTTGCAGGTAAGTTTGAGTACTTTAACATGCAAATCGATGGTAAAATTCAAATTTATCACGATACAAAGAAGAAGATTGTTTGGAGGCGTAAATAAAAAATTATGAGCAATGCGTGCTAATTTGAAACCGATGAATTTTGGTTAAGATGCGAGAACAAGTGAAAATCACTAGATAAAGTTATAAGAATGAAAAATGTAGAGCACTACAGACATTGCGAGTTTTGCTAATTTTTGAAACTTTAATATAACTTTAAAAAGATATGAATTTATTGACTAAAACTACCATGCCAAAAAAGTTAGTGCAAACTTTGGATTTCACTAATAGCCTTAATTTCTTTCACTGTTTCAATGGATTCTAGAATAGGTTTTTGCGAAAATATGAAAGGATAGGCTTTAAAGTTAGTCAAAAATTGCTTTTCATATCCGTACTTGGATGAAAATTTTATTGGGCTTTTAATTATAATAAAATGAAATAAAAATTGAACTCGAAACCACCCAAGTTTGAAATAATCGGAATATATTTGCTTTTTTACCAAAAAAAAAAAAATTGGCGAAATCCAATAAAGCTCTCTGCTTTAATAACCCGAACAATGGAGAGAGTAGCTTGTGTTTACAATCTTCATTTGATAACTTCTGAGGAACAAATTAGGAAATTCTTGGCGTCCTTCCAAAAGGTTTGATGCTTCCTTGATAACCGAGAGTCCTCGACTTAGTAATTGAATTATGTGAGTCACATAAGATTCGGGAAAGGTATAGAATGTCTTTTAAATTTCTGCCATCCCTGTGGGAGTTGAAAACCATGGAATTCCCACCCCATTTGGGAGAATGCAATAAATTGCTCGGCTGCACAGTAGCATTTTGTGGGTGGTTTTGGGAGAGACAACTTTTCCCACCTCGCCTGTCCCGTCTTCTGCGGCGGTCAGGTCACTCTCTGTGCCCCGAAATGTCTAATAATAATACAATTTGCAGGAGAAATTGCTGGTCGGTGGCCACAAAGTGCTGTGTTTTCTCTCCGCCGGACACGCTTCACGTAGCCAGGTGGGGAGCGCCGGGCGGTGCTACTCACCATGGAGGTGTCCAGCTCGTCCTCGTCGGTGAGATCGGGGGTGGATTTCCTGGCCTGCGGCGGCCCGGCGGCCGTGGGGGTCACAATCTCAGCCATTGCCGTCCGGGCACACTCACCCACACTACGCGACCGTCCGGACACGACTGACCGGAGCGCGTCTCAGTGCCGCTCTGCGCTCTCGAAGCGCGATCTGTCTGTGTGAGTGAGTCTCTCAGGCACTTTCATCGCACTTTGCTCACCAATTGAGCCCCATTTGTGGCTCCGTGAGTCGCCCAGGGATTTCTCACTCTTTCACAGTTGCAAACGCACTGAAAACACCCCGGAAGTATCACAGAAGCCCCCGAGAGCGGGGAACCAGGGTGAAAAGTCACACGACCGGAGAGGAAGGACAGAGAAAAGAGCTCCCGAAGACGCGGATGTCTTCACACAGACGCCATTGCGGGGCTCCAGTGAAAATTTGCAACATGTCAATCGCAACTCCCCACTCTGGGACCCTTCAGGACGAAGGGGAGGCACTCGGGAGGCCAAAGCAAGGCTCTGAGGGGTTCCAGGAGACGGAAAACGTGACTCACTTGAGGGGAAACGCGCGCGCGGGCATGCGTTGAGATTCTTCCACGAGGGGGCACTGCCAATCAATTTCCCGCCTTTTGCCGGTGTTTTTTTTTAAACACAGATAACGCATTTAAATATCCTTAAAGCGCCTCGAAATGTTGTTTCCTTCATATGTTGCGATATTAATTCTCAATCATCGTTGACTTTGAGGTTTAACAACGTAAATTTTGAAAGTATTGAAGATCTGGGGGAAAAACGAGAAAACTTTCTGTCCTTTCATAATTCTGAGACTGCAGAAAATTCACATTACGTCCTATCGATTGCTTGTCGCGGTGAACTCTAGCGTAAATTCTGCAACTTGAAGCAAACTTTCCTGTTGGAAATGGTATGGAAAAGAGGGAGAAGTATTTGCATTTCCACCTTCGAGGAAAGCTCAAGGGATAGAATAAAATGTAATTCCCTCCGAAGTTACACAACCGCAATATTTATTTCCCCAGCGAGACAAAAGGGAAGAAGCGTGAAATACAACTTCAGAGTTCACATTTTCAGACGAGAAATTTATTAATTTAAAAATTATTACAATGCATTTGTATTATTAAAGTGGTTTTGTTCATCAAGTTTTTTTTCCTACGACATCTCTCCATCTTGCATTTATCAACTTCTTCTTTAATACAAGTGAGAAAAGAAAATAAATAAATGGCTAATACTCTTAAATTGAAGAAAACCTATAAAATAGAGTATAAATGAGTAAAATACAACTACTAAATAACACCTCTCCTTTTTCTGCCTGTTTGCAATTTATTTTCCTCCCAGTTGAAAAATTAACAACTTTTTGCTTTCTTGGAATTGCTAAACAAAATAAAATAAAAGAAAAAAACATTCGAGATCGACAAAGATTACGACAATTTTGAGGCTAAAATAGAGGCATTACAAATTTTGGACGCTTTTTCTTCTTTTAGTGTTTTAGCAAAAATATTTCTCTTTGTTTTCCATCCACTCACAGAAAATCATTTTCTTGTTTTTTTTTCTTCAAATTTGCGAGCGCACAGAAAATCCTCATAATTTAATTTCTTTATCGTGTAAAAATATCATTTTGATTAATTCTTTCTCACATTTCTTTCAGCTAAAATACACTACTACATATATTAATTATCGTCTCAGCTTAAGAAGTATTCTTTGCTTATTACAAAAATTGTTTCAACTGAAAATTCTCACTGAACTCGTAATTGCTAATTGACTGTTTTCTTCCCGTTTTACGCAATTTGTTTTTATTTATGCAACAATTAAAATTACTCTCTAACTTCCATTTCACAATTATATTTAAGAAAAAAAAGAAAGAAGAAAAAAGGTATAGAAATTATTGATTAATCTTTCGTTATCCCTTTATCATTTCTCACATTATGCAAATTACATATTTTATTGTATATAAAAGACACAAAAATCCTCGAAAAACTCTCTTCAATTCCACTAAATCATCCTTGAACATTTTTGCAAGATGTAATCGATAAAATTTCTCCATTTTCACTTTGTTTTAAATACATATAATTATTATTTAAATATCAAATACGACTATATATTACTGTAAAATTGTTATTGTTAAAAAATTACATAGTTACTTTCTTTTTAGACACTTGAACTTTACGACGCCAATAGTTGAGTTAAGATTGAGGGAAAAAGGCCTTAACACTTTGATTAGCTATTTTTAAATTTCCTCCTTTCCACCACATCTCGCATTTATGTATATCGCGTAAAAGTTTTCTCTTTTTTGTAACTGTAAAACTGGAGTTGTCCACTTGAGGGATTTATTGTATGTAAGCTAATATAAGAATTCAATTAAAAACTTCCCTTATTTACTTAATTTACTAATCACACGAATAAGGGCCCCATTTTCATCCTTGAGCCGTTGATTTTCCGTCTTGATGCACTCTTGTTGCTGAAATGAAAAGAAAAAGTCAAAAATATGCGACACAAAATTTATGTTGTTACACAGAAAAAAGGTTCAAAATACCAATTTCAAAAAAATAAACAGAATACAAAAAATAATCTTGCAGCACAAACAAGAACAGCATTATTAAAACGAACAATAAAAATAGATTTTAAAAATCTAAATATGTTATTAAAATCACAGAAAAGAACAGCGAAGGAAAGATACTTTCCATTCTCTGCAAGTTTATCATTAAGACAAATAATGCACACATTTTTAATCTAATTTGCGTGACACGAGTTTATTGACAATTTATTACCACATTTTTGCCTCTCAAGTGTATTTTCTTAGCTAGCTTTCAGTGGATTTTAGGTTATTTAAAACATTTTATTCATTTGGAGATTTAAAATCACTGAATACAAAGCTAAAAACACACTTCTTCGTATAAAAAAAATCAGTAAACAACACTTAGAAAAAAACCAAGAGAAATCAGTCTAAATTACAAAGACTGCATTAGTTAATAACGTTGTATTTACGGATCATTACCGTATAAACCCCAATTGTAATGAAAGAAAAATGAGAGAAATGTGACTCCCTAATCCAGACACTTTGATTTTGATTTTTTTTAACTCCCATTGGCAATGAGAAAAAAGTTAGAAAGCAATTAAGCAGTTTTCCCACCGTTTTACGACGGAATTTTGTCAAGAACACTAATTCCGGAAAATATTAAAGAACAGACTTACTTTTAGAATCAGTAAATGATTATTAATTAATACAGTCCTTATCGAATAGTTAGGCACAAAAGAAAAACAAAGACTTGTCGCCAATGCCACGATTTACAAATCATTCCTTATATTGTTAGATTCGCAATTATTGCAGCACACAGTTTTATCGTGTTCATTGGATACAATTTATCAGGGACTTTTGTATGTTTTGTGGTTACAAATACAACAAATAAATAAAATAAAATAATAAACGAAACGCAAAAATGCACTAACACTTTTGGCATTGTGTGAGTTTTTTCGTCAATGTTTAGGAATATCTTTCAAATTAAAATCATTTTCATACCCCCAAATTTCGTTTGAATTTGTTTATCATGCGAGAGAAGACGACGATGTGTTGATGATGGACCAATTTTCAAATCTGATTTTCCTCTGATTACGAATCGCTTTCTTTTATCTCAAGTGTGTCAAAATAAAGACATTTTTCCACGAATAATAATATGAAATTTAGACGAATTCTAGCGAAATTGCTCTTTCAAAAGGATCAATTTTGAGAAAATAAAATGCTTTTCCAAAAAAGGTCAGAAAAACTCTTAATTTGTCACACTTCTTTTTCACGCATTTAGGAAGAACATAAGTTTGTAAAATATTTTTCTGTTTTTAAAAATCATTTTTAGAGGATTTGTTTCATTTAAATTCATTTTCCATGAAGTTGATTTTGAGCAGAAGTTGTTAGTTTCGACACAACTCGAGTCAGTGCTCGATTCTCGGCACGAAGACGTTCATTCTCAGTCTTGAATTTTTGCAGAAGCTGAATAAAATTGGGGGGAAATTAGAGAAAAACATATTGAAATATCCATCCTCTCTTTCATTCATCACTTTCTCTCTCAAGCAACCGCCAAAAAACTCTACCAATATGATTGAATGTAAGCAAATGATCGAAGTTGAATGACAAAATATCATATAATTTGGAAGAAAAAATGTGTGCAAAATTTTTTATTGTATGAAAATTAAATTAAAAAAATTTAATATGTGACATCTAGCTAGTGAAATTAGAGGAAAAAAATTAAGAAAAGAAGAAAATCAAAAATCAAAGCGACAAAATCGATAGTATAAAATTTACTTAACAAAAATAAAAACAATAAATTCAAAAGATGCCAAATGAGATATAGAATGAAAATGAAATACACTTAAATTAAAATATTGAAGTACTATCTTTGAAAAAAAAATGTCATTATTCATAGTTGATTAATTTTAATTGATTTCTGGTGATAAGCGAAAATAATATTGCGATTGAGATGCACGTATTCTATCTTTATCTCTCTTTCTCACTTTCACTAACACAGTACTTTTGTTGTTTTTGAAAAAAATTAAATAAAAAGAAACATCATCAAACCAATTGTTAGAACCAAATTGCGAAAACTTACCTTCAATTCCTCCTCCATTTCCGACAATTTTCTCTCCATCGCTCGTCGCTCGCGCTTATCCAGTTCAGACAGTGAATTTTTGGTTGTCTAAAAAGTGTTTTCCAAATGTTAGCTATCAAAAGTACAACTTGAGAAATCAGAAAAAAATCAACTTACAGCATTTGTGAATCTTTCTAGAGCCGCTTTGGTGCTTTGCAGTGATTCCTCCTTCTTCTGCAACTGCGATTTCAATTGCTCTATCTCGACTCTGGAAGTACGCAAAATTGGACGAGACGCAATATTAAGACGTGGATCAATTTTAGAACTAATAAAATCAATCAAGTGCATCAAGAGCTTTAGAGTGTGGATACACACAACTCCACAAATAGATTTATGAATTTATACTCCACATTCGTTTCCGAAAATACTCAAACTATATTTGCAAGGTTCCTTCTCTCTCACCTGGAAGCTTCATAGAGAGCTTTGTAATCAATCAACTCGCCGTTCTCCTCAACATCCGCAGCTTCTGATTTGCTCTCACTCTTATCAGCTGAGCTCGATGATTGAAGGCGTGATCGCGAGGACGGTTGTTCATTGCCAGACTGCAAGGAAGATACAAAGAAATCTTAAAATAAATTTCACAAAAAAGCTTTCTATGCATTACAAAAGGTTTCTACTGATCATCGGAATGTTCATATTTTTTCCCAAAAATAAACTTTAATTTCTTGCTTTAAGAGAATTGTAAAGCTTTTCCCTTTGGTCAAATTACTTCGTATCCTTCGCTCTTCTCAGACGACGCACTTATAGATCGCACCGAGGCTGATCCTCGGTTTCGTGTTCGACTGCGACTCGACCTATCAGCATCCCTGAACGATTGACTTCTACTAATACTGGACGATCCATTGCCACAGGCATATGAATTGAGGCTTGTATTTGATCCACTCAGGTTGCTGCTTGAGATGAGATTGTTGCTCCTGGACGGAGTGTAGTCCCTCTTCCAGCTCCCATTGTGTCCATAAGAACTCCTTCCAGACGTTCCCAGTGACAAACTAAGTCCAGCTGTTGTCACGCCATTGTCGTAGTTCGAATACGGACTGACGTATCGATCAGAATATGAGCTGTTGTACAGATTGCTGTTGCTTCCGTATCGCGAATCACTCCCGTTTGAGTACTGTCCGTATCCATTAGAGCCGGAGAAGAAGCTCTTCCTCGACGTCGGACTGTAGAGGGACTCTTTGGAGCCGTACTTGCTCTGATACTGATTCCTCAGATTCGCCACGGTATTCCCGCCATAGTATGTTCCACTCAGTGGCCGATTTGACCACGAGGACGACGGTGCTGAGCTCTCTAGGCGAGACTGGGACAAGGACCTGCGCCTGGTGAGCGCTGGCTCAATATTTCGCGAACGTGAAACTCGAAAAGACATGTCTTATAGTGTAAATAAACACTTTTGATATTGACACTTAAAAACACACAACGCGATTCTGTGTATTTTTTGGCAAACCCGAGAAAACCTCTATATTTTCACAAATATAACGTTTTCACTCATGTCCACATTGTGTGCGCATTAGAAGACAAGATCACGGAATTCACACCGAAACAAAGATTTTTCCTTTTCTCTCACTCGCTGTGAGGTATAAATATAGAAATTTTCTAATGAGTGAGAGGCAAAGGAGGAGGCAAAAAAGACGAGGATAGTCAGAGAGAAAGACACTTCCTCAATTATTGCCCAGTCGAAAGGTGAGGAATCCCAATTGATCGTTGATCATTCAACTTGAACACTATTTAAATAATAAAAAAAATCTTTTTATAGTTTCTTTGACCCTGGATAAAATGAATCACACTTTCTCAGCACGAAAGTTTATTTACTCTGAGAGCTAAAAAAAAATGGCTGAGATTGGATTAAATGATCGCCAAATACTTTACAAATTTCAAAATGATGAAAACATGTGGCATTAAAACCAGTTTCATTTCCATTTATAGTCAAAATAACTTATACTTCAGTTCATAAATCATTTAATTCCACACCATAAAAGGAGTTTTAGTCTGTAATGTTTGAAAACGCTGTTTTTCTCACGTCAACACTTCGAAGATCGTTTTCCTTTGACAGAAATAAAGGAATTTATCACAATTTTTCCTCCACCTTTTCCTCTCTCCCTCTTTCTCTTTCAATGAATTTTGCAAAGTTCTTTGTTTTCAAATGAAATCCTTTCACCAGAAAATATTGATCTCTTCACGATCACGCGAAATGCTCACACAAGAGATCGAAAGACGACTGAGGCGAATTTTGTGTGAAAAACTGATGAAAAGCCTCGCATTTCGCACACAAAAGCCTTCCTTCTCACATGTGAGACACTCACATCTCAAGATGCGATCGTTTCGATCGTGTTGTGTGGAAAAGACAGGGTGATCTTGCGTGGTAATTGCACATTAGTGCAGAGTAAAATTTTCCACACCACTTCACAGCGGAGATTGATAGTGCGAAAAGTGTGTTGAAGGATGAATTTTGAAATTTATTTGTCACACGATACATTTTCTCAGAGTTCCTGTGAATTTATTGGAATTTTGCAACGCAATACCGTGAAAATTTATTACTACCAGTGTGAAAAATTTACTTTAATGTCTCCATTGAAATACTCAAGCATCTGTTCTATTCTAAGTTTTTCATCTCGTGATCAATTTTTCGGCCGAATTGAGGTGAATAAACAAGCCGCCCGTGAAAATGTTCGCAGTATGTGTGTAAAATGGACAAATCATTCAGCGGGAAAATCTCTCTAATGGCTCACCACCAACGCCCACACCTTGACGTCATCCCATCATCAAGATTCACAAGAAAAGAGTGAACTTTCTTCACTCTCCGCATGTTCTTGGCGTTGTCAACTCCCCCAGCGCGTCTCGCCTTGGGATACAAAGCACAACTGCGAGGAGACAGTGTATTTCACACACGGAATTCATCGTTAAATACTCTCCTAATTCAAGCTATTATCTCGACACATTGCAAGAGAGATTCATTTCTGCCCAAAATAGAGGCATCACTTGACACAATAAATGAGAATTTCACCTAAAAATAAATTACCCTCACATCATAAGTCAATTTTCCGCCAAAGACTTTCACCGCCCAATGATCGCGATCGCGCTGGGAAATGGTGTGAAAACCACATCACAAATCTAACTGCAAATTATACTTTCCTTAGTAAATGTGTGGTGTTCTTTTGTATACAATTTCTCTGCCAAAGATTGCAAATTAAATGAGATACAGCCATTTTCAACAATAGCACAATAACTAAATATCACTCAAGCGAGAAGATCACATGAAAATCTGACCAAAAAAAAACCACTTTTTTTAATAGAATGTATTATTTTGAGACCACTGATCACCTGTTCTTTATTTTCGTTTTGCCTTTTATGTTCTATTAACCTCATAAAATATTTATAAATCCCAATAACCTCGACTCAATTTTACATACACTTGCGTTCGCGACAGTTTCTTTCTCGTAAAAATTGACCCACACCGTATAAATAGTTTTACAAGTAAATTTCACCATCACAATTATGATTTACATGATCACACATTTCCCGAAAATCCCGTGGGATTGAGGAAACTGTCTCTCACCCATACTTTATTGCACACAATCAATCACACCCTCTCGTGATGTTCCTCGCATTTTTTCCTAATACTCCGTCGTGTGTCGCTTGCATCAGTGATTTTGCCAAAAAATCATTTTTCACACGCTCTGCCACAACCAACTCCAATAAATTACATTTAATTGAGGTGCGACATTTAAAACACAAATCTCAACTCCTTTCATATGCACGCCGACAGTTTTGTGTCTAGAGCAAGATCATTTGCTCCTCATGATCATGACGCAAATTTCGTGATTTCAACGCAGGAGAGCAATTATACTTCTCACCAATGCTTTTGTTGTGTTGAGTGTGTAATTAATCACTTAAAATTCAGGTGTATTATTCAAAATTAAAGTAAGCATCTTCAGTAGCACTAAATATTCATAGGAACGTCGTTACTTTAGATAAATTTGATACCAACAATTGCTAGTTAGATATTACATGAAATTTTGTTTAAACATCGAGAAACTATTCATCTCTGTTCCCACATAATTTGGAATTTTCAATCAAAATACTAATATCAAAAATATTTTAGTTGCTTTTTGTGACCTAAATTTGTTCAAATCATATTGCTACAAATCTTTCGCATTTTTAGATAGAAAACTACAGATATAAAGAAAGAAAAATCTCTGCATGATTGCATTGAAGTAACCATTAAAATCCCTTCATCTTTCCCAACATGTATAAACATTTGCAGTTTACAAGCGGGATTCGCGTCCAAAAATAAATATCATGCGTTGACGTAGGGCCTTTTGGCACGCGATCCACGTAAAAATAAACACATGATTGTATGAAAATTACTCCATCATTGCGCGAGAGAATTTCTACCAAAACAATTTTCCACATTTTCCTCATTCTTCCCAGTCATTCGCACTCCCGCTTTCCGTCTCTTCCTCCTTCTATCTAGAACATTCCGCATTATGTATGTCTATTGAGGGGGAGTCGAGTTTAATTTTACACACAATACATTACTCACCTCTTTGTCATCACCGTCAACTGGTGACTCTTGACGCTCTGCATCAATTTCCTGCGGAAGATGATGTGGGATCAGTGATAATCTAACATTAGAAACTATTCCTATATACTCACGTCCATGTCAACGTGCACGACGCCTGTGGATCGCCTCTTGGGACGCCTCCTTCGCTGAATAACCGCCTGAGTTGCTTGAACGGTGGTGCGACTATCATTCTCTTTATCATTTTCTGCAGTAAGAAAAGGGCATGCGTTTAAAATTGCCACTCGTCTTTGTCGGTGTGACATTTCTCACCTTTATCATCACTATTCTTGAATCGTCGCACCAGCGAATCTGCGTCTCCCTTCGACGGAGATCGATCATTCTGCTGAGTCTCGAGAACAGCCGCTGAACTGGGCAACAGAGGCACTGACACGGGCCTCGGATTAAGGGTCACTGTGGTGGTTGTCGTGGCAGTTGATCCACTGATAATGCTATTTGGTCGTCGCTGGACACTCAAACTGGACACCACTGTGCCTGTTGGACTGCTTCCCGTTGTGGTCACTGGAGTTTCACTCGTCACTTCCTCCAATTTGAACTGTGCAGAAGACATGAAAGAGACAATAATTAGTTCCCGGAAATCTCATAGATTGTGTAAGCTCCCCAAGAGACATCGACACGTAATAAGAGTTAGCAAAGCACATGCAGGAACGTAGGATAAGTTGGAGATGAAACAGGAAGATTTTACCTTGCTGCCAGTGTCAACCTTGAGTCGCCACGAGGGACGCCTGTCGGGAGTGGCAGGCTGCTGTGGTGGTGGATCACCTTTGCTCTCCGTCACCTCAGCCGACTGTCCGGGGCCCGAGATGACAGTGGCACGACTAGCCTCTGAGTATTTGTTGGCCTCATTGCGGAGCTTCTCCGCCAGCGACAGCGAGCTGGCATTGTCCATATCAAAGAGGGATCTCTTGTACCGCGGCGTCCTCTCTGGCGGCTGCTCCGCCTGTTCCGCCTCCTCCATCGCCTTTCGCTCCGACGCCAATTTGTCAAATCTAAAACTACTCTTCACAGTCGGTGATGCTGTTCTCACTACTTCCTCCAAATCAGTCTTTTTGTTGCTACTAGGCACATTGATGGTCGCCGATATTGTTGTGCCTCCACCCTTGCCATCGCCGCTGGTGCGCGCCTCGTCATCACGCGAGGGTATCGACGCTTTGAATGTCACATCATTGGCAGTTGACGCCACCGGCGGTGGTGAGATGGTGTACGAGGCAACAACTTTATCATTATTATCACGCTTAGCAGCCGACGCCTGTGGGGCTGTCAGAGTGTACGATGCCGTGATAGTCTCTTCTGGCTCCTTCGCCGCCGCCCCGTCACCAGCTGCCACATTCGGCTTGATCTGGGCATCCGCAGTTGCCTGACCACTCGGCTTCTGCTCGCCAGATCCAGCAGGAACTCTATCATTTGACGCAACAGACGCTGGATTCTCATTCTGTCGACATTGGGTTAAGAATAACAGAACAGAATGGTTCAGGGATGGTTTTCAAAGATACAAAATAAAACAATTACAAATGACAATGATTTGTAATATAAAATTGTGAGATGAGATTTTAAGATTAAAGCCTTGCGAGAGCTCTTCTCAAAATCCCATTTATAAAATGTACACTTTATCGTGGTCTTTGTCTGTTTGTAATACAGATGAGAGAGTCAAAAAACTATGAACAACACGCAAATTATTCGCTTCGATGAAGGTATTCTCATGAAGAGGAACATTTTTTGAATATCACTCGTCATTCAAATATTTCTCTATTAAAATTGCATTAGTGCCAAAACGAGTGACAACACAACAAAGGAACAAACATTGTAAACCAATTTCATGAAGGAATAAAATATGAAACTTTTACATTTTACACCCATCTCTTAATCACATTTCTCCACGAATGAACATCGGGATAGATTAGTTTCAAGAAAGTGTAATGCAAAGAAGTCTAATTTATCCTGGAAAATATATAAAGTGAAAAAGAATTTTAATAACAGAAAATCTATACTTGCGAGCTTGGGCAAAGACAAGAAGCGCGCGCACCTTCGTCAAAGCGAATAATTAAATTATCCACAATAAAAAGGAGAAATTCAACTCAATGATTAGCAAAAATGGGGAGGCAATTTTTTGACAAGTCAAATAAGAAGCCCTTTGCCCAAGCATACCCAAAACCAAACTCTCTCACATTCTCATTAGCCAATTTTTTTTCAATTTATCAACTCTTCTGTTGACTTTTCAAGAGAGATTATCGTACTATTGCCTCTGAACAATACTCACATTCGCACTCGTATTGTTGTTGTTGAGGTTCTTCTTCTTCACAAGCTCCTCGGCGCTCTTTATCTCATCAAGAGTCACCCCTTGAGTGGATCTTCTTGTCTCCCGAACACGTTTGGCATGAGCTTTTCGCTGCGTTTCGCTTTCTTCATCTCTGGTTGGCGGCACAAATGACCTAAAAAGTCACGACACTTATAGTAATCATCCAAATAGATGTGTGCAAACAATCAGAGGAGAGTTTGGGGAAAAATTCCCCCAAAAAAGCCACGCAACATTCATATTGTCAATTCGGTGAGTAGAGAAAAACACACTCGCTTGGAAAGAGTATTAATAAGATTATATCATAGAAGATATCCCGTAATGCATTCAGGCAAAAACCCACTTGAAGAAGTTCTTGAAAATATTCCCCGGCGACAATTTATTGGTTGTTTGCTGATTTGATTGTGCATTACTGTTAGTCTGTTCGACTCCTGATGCCACATTCTCCTCCTCATTCCTATAGATTGTCACAATTTGGAAACTTTCTTGAGAATCGACCTTAATGAGTAACTAATAAAACTTCATAATCACCTTCGAACTGGCGCAGAACTTGCAGTTGTTGATGTCTGAGTCGTTGGGCTCTGCGGTGGAGACACTGGATTTTTCCTATTGCAACACAGAAACAATAATATTAGCGAAATGTAATTCAGCCAATTCTGTTATTCAATTTGATTCTCATGACTCTACTGGAGGACAAAAATTAAAATTGATGAATGATTTTCTCAATGTGAATTCAGCAAATTAAATTGCAAGTCAATAAATGCATGCAGTTACAAATATTAAACGATAGGCAAGCCACAAGTGTAAGAAATTTGTATATTTTTGTGTTCTTCTCACGAGGACTTTTTTTTCTTTTCTTTTGTGAATATGCTGGAGATTTATCGTCTGGCGATACCTTATTTGTTTGTAATCTTTGAGTGAAGCTGATCGTTGCACAGAGTATGTATTTACTACCACTCCTGGCTTTCCTCCACAATCTCCGCCGCCTCCGCCTTCCACACCGCCCGTCTTTGGTCCATTCCCGCCAACGCCCGTGGTCGGCGTTACCGGAAGGACCGGATAGGAATTTGCTTTGATTCTTGCACGAAGTTCTCGATATTTTTGATAAAATCTACAGTTGAGAGAATGTCAGGACGACAGCATAAGACAGTTAGCAATAAATAAAAAGTACAGCAGCTGCTTAAGAGCTCACAGGGAGAGAAAAAACGTACACATTCGAACATAAACACATAATTTTGCAATAAACACACTTTCATCATTAAATATTCTAACACTGAAAGGGAAAAAAGTCAATTTGCAGCAAAAATTCAATAGAATGATTGTGTCTCAGTAATTTGCCACATTTTGCCTGTTTTAAGATGTGATTTTGAGTTAAACATTGATTAAGATATCTATTAATACTGAGAAAAAGCACATGAAATTATTTTTGTGCTCTGATCTTCCTTTTTATATAGAATGAAGAAAATGATTGATGAGAATCTTGTTAATATATACAATCAAAATAAGGAGAAAAAATATGATGAAATATGGTGTGTTGCGCTTGAATTTTTACATACTTTTCATCATGCTCGAAGCTCTGCGTCCGTCTCAATATCACTTCAGAGTCCGATGGTTGAACCTCTTTGTCTGGTACTTCTGAAAAAAGTCGTACAACCCGAAAAAGGAGTCATTTAATTTCGCGTCTCGGCCAAGAAAAGAAATTCATTGAGAAAAATTCACTTGTATTAATAGATGTGATACACGATGTGTTCAGGACTATTAACAAGTAACATTTTCTGCTGTTTGTCCTTTTTGCTTTTTGATTAAGCCTCCAAGATAAAACAGCAAACAACACAACACTTCCTTTTTTCTACACAAAACACAATTCTTAGTCGAGTCTATCAAAGACTAAGAGTCTGATTACATCGTGTTTTTATGGTAAAGTCAATCAAAAAATACTCACGATTTTTCTGTGGACTCTCAGGCTGTCCTCGTGCCTTAGTGGCTGCAATTCCTGGTCGGCGCCATGTGTTAGAGTCCTCCTCAATAATTTCCGGACGATTGGAAATTTGCTCACTGGGCGCCTTCGGTTTCTCCTCTGTTGAGACACAACACCATATATTAATCAATTGCATTGAGTGCGGGAATAAATTTATACACATCTTTAATTTACACCATGACAACACTATTTATAGATTAAATGGGAATTAATGTACAAAATATTCTCTATAATAAATATCATTATATGTATACACACAAGTATAATACCCATACAGTCATTTTCAGATGAAATATCATGTGCGAAATTTGCCATTTATTAATTTGCAATAACACCCATTTTATTTATTGATCCGAGACACGATGAATTTTTGCTCATTTATTTGAATTTATTGAATGACTCCTAATCTTTCCAATAAGTCATTCTTCACAATCACATAAATTAACGGATTTAATCACATCCTGAGAATTTGCATGACATCAAATCTCATCCACTCAATTTGGGCCACACAAAAGACAGTTTGTCTGCCAAACACCGGAAATTAGACCATTTGGTGGGCGATACAAGGCATTTTGCATCAACACACACTCCAACTTGGCCAATCTTGCGAGACACTTTATGCAAATCTTATCTCAATCTCAGTTGCTGAAAGCTATTCCGTTTCGTATCTGAAAGTGACTGCATGGAATTTATCTTGGAAATATACAAAAAGTACACGGAAATCAATAGATGTGAATCCATTTCACCACATTTAAAATAAACTGTGCACAGATTTTTTTTTCCATTATTCACCCTATTTTCCAAGTGCCTCCAACAAAATCCTTCCCTAGGCAAAATCACCCGCATTCCTCAACACATTCTTTTGCTTGATTTGTGTGTGTGTGTGCGGTATTTTAGCTTTTCACAAAATTCTCTGCTCTTATGCTTTACCTATTGACTCTGAGAGACTTGAGGCTGTACTTTCAGTTGATTCTGTGTAGTCCGAATCACTTGGATCATCACACTCGGCGATTCGGTGCAAAAAAGTGAATCGAGCTTCACATATTGCCGTGGGGCAGCATTAATTCAATTAAATATCATTTTGTTAGTTTCAGAATCCACTCACTGTGACTTTATCACATCTCTTCATCTACTCTCTTCATCAATCTTTAGCACAATTATCACCTGCTCGCAAAATGAGAAGGTGAAGTATAGGAGAGAAATCAATTACATTCTTACCATCTTTCAATTCTGGCTTCACTTCCACGCGAATCACTTTGGGCGGTGTTTCGTTGTTCGCATCCATGCTGTCCTGAATTCTGTAGTGAAAGAAAAATCATGTTGCAGTGAGGGTACAATTTTATCTTATCAACAAAATAGCACCTCGTTTGGCTACCCGGTCGCCTCTTGGTCTTCTTCTTCCTGATCTCATCCAAATACCGTGCCAGCGTCACATCAGCCACATCAATCGCCGTCTGTCCGGCAAAGTTCTTCGTGTCAATGTCAGCCAGCGACGTGATTAGCATCTGGGCAGCCTCCTTCTGGCCCCAATGCGCCGCAGCGTGCAGCGGCGTCCACCCGTCGTTGTCCTGCTTGTCCACATTCGCTCGACCCGCGAGCAGGAGGCTCAGGACGCGCGTGTACCCTTTGGCCGCGGCCACGTGGAGCGCCGTGGCGCCCGTCCGCGGATGAGGACGATCCACCTCAGATGCGTCACTCCGCAGCCACTTCTTGGCATCAGTCAACATCATGCGCTCCTCACGCGAACGCGCCTCCTCGCAGTCAATCGCCTGCTCGTCAATGTGCTTCTGCAGCAGATCCTCCATGCTATTGGACGTAGACAGATCAATTGGCAGCTCACCATCGCTGCTTACTAGTGACAAATCCGCCCCACTCTCAACTAAGTACCGCGCTATGCTGACAAAACTGCAAAAGAAGACAGCGTGTTATTACATATCAGAGCATTACTCCAATATAATTACTAAAATTTCATGAAATCTAGTGACAAGATAGAAAGCAATTGTCATATTGCGTATGTTTTTCATCTGTAATTCTTCAACACTTTCTTAGAAGATAAAGGAAAATCATCACATCAGACAATGAGAAGAAAAAATGTCAAAGAGAAATCACTTTTTTCCCCAATTTCTCGATTGAGCGGGAAATTTTTGGCAATGAAGCTCAGCTGCCAAAAGCCAAATTTTTCAACATGCGCCTTCTCGCGTGTGCGCGCGCGAAAAGAGCGCATGAAAGAGACGAAACACACCATTTCAATTTTTAAACATTCGACAACGAGACTTCGCATCGAAAAATCTAATTATAACGGATCATGTGCTATAAATAATTCTGCGTTACTTGAACTCACAGTGACCCTATTTTCTAAAAACTCTCTCTATATATGTTTCATAATTTAATTATTCTCCATTGCCTTTTTTCCTCCTCCTTTTAGCACACGCGAGCACACTATGCTTGTCTTCCACATCTCTAATCCACACATCATTATTGTGATTTACCCGCAGGAAGCTGTGGCATGAAGAGGTGTCCAGCCTTCATTGTCGGCACGATTCACATCTGCTCCGTGCTCCACCAGGAACTCCACCATGTCCAAATTGTCATCAATGCATGCCTACAAGAGATGGAGAGACACAGGAAATAATTAGATTAGCACTTTGGGCAGATCAGGGGAGAAAAATATGGATTGGACATGGCAAAAAGAATAATTGCGACGCAGATATCATAGTTGTTGAATCATATCAAAATATTTGATTTCTACAAAATGCCACAAATTTGAAATTTCAACTAAAAGTGCTGAAAATATATTGCATACACTCTAATGTTGAATTTTTGCAAATTAAACAATTAATGAGTCAGAATTAGTGAAGAATTTCACAAATGCCACCTGAAGACCACAATTCTGCGAAGAGCAACAACAATTTTTCATTCCAATCACATTTTTTGGCTAAACGCTTGACAAATCTCTCAATTTGCCATACAAATAAAATACCCAATATGTGTTCTTCCTCCCCATCTTCACGCATTGAAGATCACCACACGATCGCCTAGCATTTTCGATACTCCATTCTTCAACACTCACGCTCACACATATTCATGGCATTTGGCATTATTGAGTGGGTGGGTGGATTCCGCACAAGTTTATTTCGGAAATATTATTGTATAATGGCACTATCATCGACTGTGGTTATGTGTTCCATCTCCATTCCGCGCTCTGAACTTGTAGAGAGCGAGAGACATTTTCGTCATTGTGAAATCCATTCTCACAGTCACTCATAATCCATATTATATTTAATATTCTTCTCTCTGCAGAAGGAAATTTACTCATTTTCACACACAGACTGAAAAGTAATCATAAATTTCAATTGGAACAGAAAAAAAATTGACATAAAGCCAAGTGTACAATTCGATTTGGTAATTAAATTAATGGTCTTCGGGTCATAATTATTCCCCAATTTTTCACTCCACTGCCAAACCATCGAGAATCTCCTTCATTGCGCCGCTCAATCTCTTGGAAGGCAGACACTCTCTGGAGAACAAGACGAGGAATATATAGTTATTGTTAAGTTATATACTTTTATTGCTCTCTGACGCAATCTGCATATCGCCGTCTTGAATGACAATTTTCTCGTCAGGGCAAATGATTAATGGTAATGGATACTTTATGTCTCTGATCTTTTCATCATCTCAACTCCCATCTCGTTTGCTTTTGCACTAGAAGCAATCAACCCCTCTTTCACCAACATTTGATCCCAATTGATCAAAACAATTCAATTGTCCATTCCAATATCGAATGGGAATTTCTCAGAATTCACAAAATGATACCACAATTATCTGCCATTTGCCAACTTATCATCGCGGACTTTGTCTTTTGATAAAATAATAAATCCTCAGTCAAGTTCACTGACATTGGCAAAAAAATTTACTGAACAAATCCAATTGTGTGTCATTGCAATTCCTTACAAACCCCCAGAGACGAATAAATGAATGCAACGTGGGTTTGGTTCTATGGCGATATTACTTCAATATATGAATTGAATGAAGAAGACAAGGCGGCTTCTTTGAGCCAATTTAAAACAAATTAATTGATCTGTAGCAAAACTTCTACAGTTGAAGACAGAGAAAGCCAAAGTGAATCAATGGAGATGAAGATTCACTTTTTTGCGACTTTGGGTGGTTTTTTTTTCTCTCTTTCACAATACATCTCTCCTTCAATATTTAAAAATTACATTCATGCAATAAAGAGTTTGTATGCTAATTTATTGGTTTGGATGGTAAATTGACAGATTGATAAATCGACAATCGATTGCTATTATTATTCTTCTCTCGTACAATTTTTGTACAATATTTTTCTACCGTACACAGTTGATCATTGGCTTGAGCTTCACATGGCGCCGGGTGTTTTCTTGAGAGGAATTTTGCCCTCCACAAGGGGAGATGCCTTTTTTTGCTCATGTCTGTGCAAAGTTTCTCTTTCTCATACTGGATGGTATTTCTGTTACATTGCAAATGCCACAAAATTTGATGATCAATGCATATTAAGGTTAGACATGATTTATGCGTGACTTTTTTCACCACAGCACTGTTATGTAGATGCTGAGTGATGTTCAGTAAGTCGAACACGTCTCGCCGCAGATGAGCAAATTTGTTTCTTATCACGATGATTACTCATAGCATGACGTCTTAATTTTATTTCACAATGCAACAAATTTCATTAGCAATAAACCAATGCGTAATTCTTTATAATAAACATTAATAGCTAAAGAAATTTTCCGAGTATCCGCGTCTGCATTTATTCACGATAACGAATATGGTTGTCCATTGAACGTTTTTTAGATAGAGGATCGCAAGTTCCTTTTGTTTTCTAAATAATCACACTATAGTTCTTTGTCTAACCCACAAAATAAGTTCCACCTACTGTAAAGCTCCGCCCATTCGTCTACAGCACAACCAATCGCAGCAATTCGCAACATCGAAGCAATCAGAAAATCAGCCTTTGAACCATTTGTATGATATTTTGGCGAGAGAATTCAAACATTAAATCACTAAAATCCGATTTCAACATTAGCAACAGATACAGTTTTATGTGATTTTGAATGGCAAAATTTATTTACAAGTATTTTCCCAGAATATCTCATGAGAATCTCACTAAGTATTCCATTTATTTTCTGTGCTTTTCATATGCTCAAGGATTTGCCAGAAGAAATCATCAGATAAAGAGTGTGATAAATTGAGTTGTCGAATAATTTGAATAATCTAATTTATTGGGAGGAAGAGGGGGAGTGCCAATTGAGAACGCACGCCATGAGAAAAGCGCTCTGTCTTTTGTCACTTTATATATGGCGCATCGTGTTTGAATAATCGTGAATTTATTGCAGGAATATCTTCCCTCCTAGTGCCAATTTTTTTTTCAAGTATGACTCTCCTCTGCATCAACAAAATAATGTGTGGTATACATAAAACACACAAACCATTTATCGTCATTCTGCTGTGCTCGCCTCCAGGAGATGATGATGCAGATGAAGAATGAAAACTGGATGTGATATTTTGTGGCACGAGCCACAACAAACATCTCGCGAGACTATCAAACAAAATACCCAGTGTGAAAGAGCAAGTGAAAGAAAAAAGAGGTAAAACAGAGCTGAGCCTCAAATTACCATTCTCTCTTCGCATTGCTATTATTACACACATTGAACATACATATATTGCAGTTTTTCTGCAAAAAGGGGATGTGCCTCATTGACGAGGGAAATCGTCAAAGTCGTTTTTCTCATTCACCCTGCGTGGCACTTCTTTTACTTCTTCTTTTGCAAATAAACACGAGATTGAGCTGTAAAATTTTACGATTGCATTTTCGTGTGTCATTGACCGAGTTGTAATATTGTAAATTCTTCTCTTGGCATGTTACGCGATCTTGGGAAAAAGTGTCTTTCACACCAAATTCAACTCAAGTTTGCTCGCGAGATTTACTTTATTATTTTATTGACAGTATTAATTGTGATTTTTGTCTCCAATTTCCTGAAAATACACACTTTTGATCACAATCTGTTGCAATTCACACGAGACAATCTGTAAGAAGAATGCAAAATAAGAAAAAGTTAAGCCCAATATTTCAGAATTTTATTTCTGTACCCAAAAAAGTGACCTTAACACCTCGCAAATCCCATTGAAGCCTAACTTATGCTTGAATAACTGCCAAATAATCCATTGACTCTGATTTATCATTGATGCTCCTTCAACCATTTAATCATTTCATTTTGCGAGAAAAGCCATAGAATTGAGCAAAATCCACTGAAAAGTGTATTTAAATTGCAAATTAACTTCCCTTTTTCACGCAAATTTTAGTCACCGCATCAAACTTGTATTTTTATCAAAACTTCACACTATTTTTCATCCTGTTCATTTTGCACGTATACAAAAGAAATCGCCAGGCAAGATATACCAAAGTTAGAGAAGTGTGTAAAGATAAGTACAGGAATAGAGAGAAACCTCATGGTTGTGTGCTAATTTTAACCACATCTTCTGCACTATAAGTTAAAGACTGGAGATGAGCGCTACCATTTTACATTTGCGGAACCACCAAATGCCAAATGGCAGATAAATTATGATTTTATGGCAATAGGAGAAGAGTGCTTCTATCTATCTGTTTCATATGAAAAAAATATACATATTCTCAAGACTAACGCAATTCCTTCGTTTTCAACTCATTGGCAATCTGCAAAGCGATCAACTGTAATCCCGCCAATTCCACATTATATACAAACTAGCGGTGAATGAGAGGTGAAAAGACTTTGAAACAATTTTCAAGATAATTTTCACTTTCAACGTTCAAAAAATGTATCGTTTTATTCAAACTGTCTCTCTGTCTCTCTCTCGCTCTCTACAACTCGCTGCATTGCACGAGATTCAAAATTAGTCATTCACACACGCACAATTGATGACATGTTGTACAAGTTTTGCACCATCATGTCCTTCCTCGAGACTTTTTGGGACGCGACTGACATTGAAGAAGTTAAGATGAATGTGAGGTGGGAATTGAGAGCAAAAGTGTGTCTGCTACTCTCAGTCTTCAAAACTAATTTTGTATTTATTGACACAAATTGCAGGCTTAAGTATCGAAATCAACCTGAAAATCAACCATTTCAACTTCAATTTGTCACCATTTTACATCACACACACACGCAAACGTGTGCACGTTCTCGAATCTTGCTTCAATTTCTTCCTCAATTTCGCATTTTATTTCATGGGAATTTTATGCTGTTAAAAACCCATTAAAATTTACTTACAGCGCGAGATAAAAAGAATGGGGAGGATGCAGCGTGAAATAGCGCCAATTGAATTGACCAGAGGCACAAAATTGTGCATAACTACACATTAAGGCCTCAACATGAGCGTTCATATTAAAATTAATTTTCACCAACTACTGTCAATTCACTTTATCGCATTAATAAGTCATGCGATAAGAGCAAAATTAAATGCTCTTTAACGTTTCTGAGGAATAAATTTTACTAAAAGTGTGTCACAAAGTATTACATGGCAGAAAAATAAGACGTAATGGCCAATTGCTTTTGAACTTGTGGACTAAACCGGACGAATAATAATCAAGTATTTCTG